AAGCCACATAACCAGTGAAGTGAATTAACACTGAAACACACTGCAGCTTTTTTTTTTTTTACAGCTGAATAGGCGATGCCATGTGCTGCAAGTACAAGCGTCTGATATCTCTTGCATCTCGGGAATTCAAACCTGGCCCACAGGAGGGTGCTGCTCACCCTGACGCAGCACACAGCTGTCAGCATTTCTTATTACAGCCACATCTCTTCACGAGAAAACCACAAGCACTTGCACAGAGCACCCAAGGTAGAAGGCAAAAGCCATCCATGTATTGTTAATACCTTTTTCTGTGTTGACAGGAAGTTTCCATGTGTGCTTACGTGTACCAATCAGTGCAGGGAAAGTTCATACCAGTTTGGGAAATTCAGATTTGCATGCAGCTGTGTACACCATGTTTACAACAGTGACTGATGCAGGTGTGAAGAGAAACAGGGAGTAGGTCGCTGCTCAGATGTGTGGCTTTTCCTCTTAAAATTTAAAGCAGCATCTGTTAAGGTATTAAGCATACACCTGACAGCAGAAAAGAACATAAATACCTTTTAATGACGGTAAAGAAATCTCAAAGATTTTACCATAACGAATGGAAAATTCTTCTTTTAACAGTCTTCTGCAATGACAATAAGGCACATCAGCTTTTTAAAATGGCAGTTGATACAGAACAAGCAGATAGAGAAAATGTAAAGCCAGCAATACGCAGATGATATAACCCCTAAGTATGTTTTATTGGTAGAACATAAGATGATTGACAAAACACAACTCTCATCACAGGCTTTGGTCAGTGAGCACAGCACTGCTGAGGAGCTGATGGCAACACATCTCAGGCTGTGCACAAGGCCACATCTGTGCTAGCAAACACACATACAGAATAGGCCAAGGCAACGGGCAGACAGCCTCCCCAGCACTCCAGATTCCAGCACCAAAGTGGGGGAAGTATCACACCTCATTTATACTGTACTTATAAATAGTAATAAAAAGGCAATCCATTATACATGCTATGCAACTTTCCAAACTAACTACTTCTGCTTGTCTGACTGGACCCGTTTACAGTTTTTGCACTCCTGAGGTCCTGTTTGTTTAAGCTAACTCCCAAATTTGGAAAAGCTAGTCCAGGCAAAATTTGTCATTTAATTCACTGAGCAAAACATTGTCACAAACAGTATCTTAAAATCAATCTGAATTTAGAATAATTCAGAAATCATATCCCAGGTCATACCATAGTGCCGGAGATGGCTGTCAGTAACCAGAGGCTGATGAAGTGACATCATCGCGTGCTGCCACAGAGTGATGCTTTATGTCTCCTCAAACATCTTTCAGTTAGATTTATATCACAAAATTTCTAAAGTCAAAAGGTAGACATTAAAATTTGGACCCAAGTCCAGCAGAATGTTTGGCTTCCCATCATTCTGTGCAGTCCTGAGACGATCTGGGAACTGGACTGAGAACTGAGTGCTTTCAGACTCAGAATTCAAATATTTTGGGCAGTACATTTCCTCAGTGGAGATTTGACTCTCCATCAAATGTTGTAGTATTCTGTGTATTTGCACGTTAGAGAAATAGCAATGTGCCTTATTTTATCTCCATGAAATAGGATAAAAGGTACTCATTATGCTATAAACTAAATATATATATTAAATATTAGTCATTATACCTAACCAGAGGCATCACTTTTAGCATTAAAATCATCTCAAAAGAACAGGCAAAACTCAAAATGATTTCTACTTCAGAAGAAATTCTATTGAGTCATTAAAGATCAGGTTCTTTTTCCACACGAGCAGCTGCTCCAACAAAGGCTTAGAAACACAACAACCAAGTGCAAGTAATTCTTGGGACTTAAAGCAGTTCAAAATGCAAAGGCACAGAGCCTCATCTGCACTAAAGATATTGCTCCTTTTAGCTATGCCAGCATAGTAGAAGTGCAAATCCCTTCTAATGAGGACAATTATATCAATATTCCAGACTCACAATGGTATCCTAGCCTGAGACTCAGCAAAGCACAACAAGTTGTACAGACAAAAGGCACCCTGGATTGCATTAGCAGATGACTCCTACCTGCATCACAGCTTCATTAGCTTAGTTAATGCTGTTAAAATAAACTTCAATCACTTAAATAATTTAATCATCTCTCTAAAGCATATGAAAAGAAAAAAAAACAACAACCAGAAAGTAACATCCTGAAAAGGAACTATCTGCCCTAAGTGTTTCACTGGCAACCAATAGGGCTTCCTCATGTTCCAGTTTCTGTGATCTAGGCCAGCAGTTTGGATCCTGGGGGTGATGACTTCAGTCTCATTAAAAACCTCTTAGCAGCAACACCTGCTAACAGGTATTCAAGCATACTGGGAGCAGGGAGCTTGCACAGCCTTTGGGTGAAGGATTCAAAGAGTGGGACCTGGGGAGATCTGTAGTGTTGCCCCAACAAGGTCTGGGTACAGGAAGTGCAGACCTCGCTAGGCAGGCTTGCACAGCAAGCAAGATGCAGATGTAGTATCTGGCACAGAGCTCACACCAGGCACAAGGATGTGGGCTGCAGCTGGGACCAGCTGACTCAAAAACCCAGAATGCTTTCTGCAGTACCTCCTGTCTGCAATTCAGGCCCATCAACAAGCGATTTCAACATCTCTTGGCACAAGCCAGGAAATATGTAGAGCTGAAGGAAACACCATGTTTCCTCCCCACCCTCCACCCCCGAGAGATCTCCCTGCTCATCAATGCAACCTGATGGGGAAGGAGTACAGATGTCATGGCAGCTTTGTGGTCTTTTCTAGGAGAGTCAAGTACAGAATTAGAAGTACAAAAAAATAATCACAAAGCCAGAAATCCCTTTTAATACTGATAATGGGACACTGACTCATGCAGCAGCACCGGACAGGAACGAGGACCCTGTGTTAGTATTAAACTCATGGAAAAAGGCACATGGCTGCATGCAGTGCTGTCACTGGGCAGGCACTGCCACTTGTGCACGAGCCGTTGTGCAGCCCCAGGCCTGGCTGTAGCTCTCCCAGCAGGTACATGGGGCTGCTCCCCACAGCCCCAAACAGCGTGGGATTTGGGGGTGCCTCTACAGCCTTTGCTCAGGAGCTTTGGTCTCACTAGAAGATTTGACATGAAAACTGAATAGCAGCTCATAGGTAATATCAAAATATGCTAAGATTCTTCTATTTACAGTCAATCACACACAGTGCCTTACAGACAAACACAGAAATGTGAAAGACGGTGGTGAGATGTATTGTGTGATGAATTGAAGATCAATGAGTAGAGCTGCAACAACATGCTAGGAGATCCGGATCACTAAATCACACGGGACCAAGGCTGACAACTGTAATGCCACAGTGCTACAACGTGATGGAAAATACAGCAGTAACAACAGGGTGACACAATCCCAGACTACAACAAATGACAACAACTGCCATAGACACAGAAACAAAAGAAGAAAATCTGCTTACCTTAACAAGACCTCAAGTAGGCAGGGATCTCCAATCAGATACCCTCACCTCCACTGCCAACCCTTAAATGAGGTCTGGGAAAGGGTGGACCTGGCTCCATCCTTCCCAGTCACTCAGCTGCATTGCATACACATGAGCTCCCCTGGGTTGGTCCTGCCTTCAAACCAGGTGCTCAGTCAGTGATTCAAGCCATGACTGAGCATTTCCACTACAACGTCATTGTAAATCCAAAAATAAGAATAGAAATAAGAACCACGTGCATCACATTAACACCTTCCTATTTCTGAAATGGATTAAGAATTGATGTCAAAACGTTTACGCAAGTGAAACATTTATTAGTGCAACTGGCACATCAGGAGCTGAAAACTACTGCCTATAGCAGTAGAGCAAGTCTGACACTTAGCAGATCACAGAAGATACTTCCACATGCCTTCAGTATAGCTGAGATTGTGAGTGTTAATTTCCATAATGCCACATTGTTACCGTTAATGAATGTGATAATGATCGGTTAATTCCTCTTTTAGACAGATAATTACTGAATTAAGACATTTGGAAGCTGCCTTACAGGAGACCAACAGGTTTATGCAACCTTCCAGGTTGGCCCTGGGCTGTGAAGGCTTCTGCAACAAACGTCACTATTTTGGGCAGCCCAAAGGCAATCATTCTGGGATTCATTCTTTTTGTAGATGGCAAATTAAGTCAGTAGAAGGCTAGAGAGCCCCTTCTAGGACAGAAGCAGCCACTTTGCAAAAGCACAACTGGAGACATAAAGCTGCAAAGGGTGTGTGTACATTTATGTACATATATATATATGTATACACACGTGTCTGGAATTCCCTTAGGAAACAAATTTTTTATAGGGCAACAGTTTTCACTCAGTGATCCTTGGTGCCTAAACATGAAGTTAGATTATTTCTCAAGATCCACAAACAGACTGAAGCAAGGCATTAAAAAGAAAAGCTCTGAAAGGAAAATGCCTGAAAACCCACCGTTTTAAGAAATCCCAGCCACGATAAGCTCCAACCTTCAGTTAATGCCAAAGGACTGCCTATCACATTAACTCTCTGCCAACTGGCATTTATTTGTATTCCCTTCCAACCAGGGCCGTATGCATTTGTACAGAGGATAAACTGCAGCCTATGGATATTATCTTAAACAACATCAGAAATTGTTTTTTTTGTTGTTGTTGGCTTGGTTTTTTTTTTGTTGGCTGGGTGCTTTTGCAGTTGCATTTTAATACATTTTGTGTATGTGTGTTTTGCTTTAAATTCAATTTGGAGGCTACACTGCCAATTGCGGCTGCACAAACAGCACTGCGGCCAAGCATGATGTGCTCTAGCTAAACATAAATCACTTTAGTCTATCTTTTAGCTGTAATCTAAATTAATTCTTTGAAAATCAATTTATGGCTGTTTTATTGTGCTTTAATACAAACAAACACTCAGGTGCTACAAATACGCATCCTTTACAGCTGCAGTACTGCTTCTTGGAATCCATGCAGTTATTCCTCCCTTCTTGGCACAGGTGGAAACAAATTTGAAATGTAACAAAAAGGCATTTAATAAATACTTTTTTATTTTCTTCTTCTGTTATCACTGCGCATTGTCACAAATCAAAAAATCCTCTCCTGGGCAGCGTGGAAAGGGTAGAAGTCAGGAGTGCAGACAGGAAAGATTCACCACAGCACCTTCTACCGCGCTTCCATCCCTGCCCAGGAGGAAGTCTGCAGGACCATCAGAGCAGCTCATTCCCCTGAGCTGCCCATGCCTGAGGGGCAACGCGGTGAAAATGAATAAATGGCATGGGCAATTTTGTTTAGAGCTGAAAGCTGTCCTGTGGCAGGATCCCGGCTGCTGGAGCTGCTCCCTCTTTGACAACACAAACTTGGTCCCTGCAATTACCCAAAGCGCAAAAGGGATTCTTAGCACAGAATGAAAGTTTATGTAGAAAAGAAAAAAAAAATCAGCAGTAGCTATTTGGGATTCATCTCCTTGTATAAACATGCCTTAAGGCTAAATTATTTGTGGTTTTTTGAACGCTGCAGAAGCTTTAGAATCTCTGATGTTTGAAGTTTCTGTTGCCTTCCTAAGTCCAATTCAAGGATCTCAGTTATGTGATCCTTTTCCATACATGCAGCATCCACCCTGTCCACTCCCTAAATGTTCTTATACACTCCTATGATGTCCTAAAAAATGTACTAAGTTCACCTAGCATATAAACGTTGCCAGGTCCTGGGACTTAACTTCCTTCTGTCCTTTCTCTTGAGCTCTCAGCTCCTAGACTGAAGCGCCGTGTGACATTTCAGCTTTCACCGAAATGAGGGGAAAGTTCCTAATTGCTCAGAAAAATAAAATCATCCTAAATGGAAAATGTATTTCCATTTACAAAATGTTTCATGATTTACATTGCATTTGCTTACTTTTCTGATTCCTGACTCATTTTTGAATGATTAAGGATGAGCTTACTGTCATATACAACACCTCTTCCCTCTTAAAAGCTGTCCAGAAACTGCAGTTCAGACTATGAACTCCCCTGGCAGTCAGTAAAGAAAAGTTAATCTTTCAATTATGCTTTCATAATTGTATTCTATTGCTGTAAGAACAAAGAACGACTTCCTATCCAGTGCCTTTATTTCGACATGAACAATAGGGACTTTTCACTGTTCTGCATAACTTAACAGCAGAGTACAAAGTTTTATTTACACCAAGGTGGTGAAGAGCTTTCAGCACATTTCTTTCTGGCTCTTTTTCTGATTCCCTCTCTTCTTGGCCAACATCTCCATTACAAAAGACTCATGACTGAGCATATGTAAAGGGTTTATGGTCAATAAAACCTGCATTCACACAGGAAGTCTGCATGGCACAGGCAGATTTGGCCAGATGCTGGATAATCTGTGGGGCCCTTTTCATTCTGTGTGCTATCTGTGGTTCTGTCAGTATGGCAAGTAAAACTGGCTTGTATTGTGTTGCAACCCACGAATTGGAGATCTTTCATATCTAATGTCCACAATCCTAAAGCACTCCTAAATACTAACAAAACAAGCAATTGACCGTAAGTATGAATCAGACTTCTAATCAATCATGTCCAAATAAAAATACTTCCAGAGAGATTATCCAAAGAGATTAAAGCAAAAGAGCAATCTTTCCTGGCTCGTAAGGGACTGCACAGAAATTAGATAACCCTGCCCCTGCTCATACAGCTGCATTTGGCTGTCAACACACGATGACAAAGCATCGTCCAGAGGTGACAGGTAAGTTACAAGCTATGCATTAGGACTTTTTTGTTGCATGATTTTCCTTATCTCTCTGTCCTAATACAACCAACCAATCACAGTGTGATAAAAAACAGAATGAACAGTACCTGTCAGTCATTCCTTAAAAATATAGGGCTGTGATGATATGAAAAAGCAATTTCTCAACTGGGAACAAGAAATGAGTTGCCTTGTAGCATTCAGCTAGATGGGTAGCCTAGAATGCTTCTAAAGCCTGTCTCATTCAGAAAGACCTCCATGCTGATGACCAAAACAGAGGGGAATTAAGAAATGGGAAGTTGATGACAGAAGAGAAATGAGATGAATGTTCATATGAAACTCTTTGGTTCGTATACAGATTATGAAAAACTTAAGAGATGCATTCACTCAGTTCCATACATAAAGCAGTGCTCATTTTTTCCAGGCTTTGTTCCAACTAGTTCTTAGAAGCACAGGTCCTGCTGTGCTCCTGTGCACCCAGTGCAAAGTCCACGGCCTGATGCACACTGTGGAAGAGAAGATGGTCCTCCCCCTCTTTGAAGAATTCTCCCCGCATTAGGGAACTCCTCACCGAAGGATTGCACTGTGCCAGCAGCACCTGGACATCTATCTCACTGTAGTCCTTGCAGACCTCTTTGAGCGTGCGTATTCCTGCTGTGTCCAGAAACTGTACTGCACAACAGTCAATCACTATTGTGTGAAACCCCAACGGCTCGGACACAAGCTCCATGGAAACATTGGTCTGGCTGCCACCAGAACCCGCTTCCTTCTCTCTAAGCATTCTTTTTGCTGCCTTTTTCTTTGCTGCCTTCACCAAGGCTGGGTTGACTCCAGTTTGCTTATACAGTGCGGATTTGAAGCAGTCTTTGTTGATGTAGTAGAGGGGTGCTTCAAAACGCAGCACCACAACTCCTGGCTTAGTTTCTAAGTTCTTATAAGCAGACAGGGACTCATATGTTTCAGACTCTGCCACCCAGCCAAGCAATGGCGCCTCTGGCTTCTGAGTTCGAAAAATGACACAAAGCATAGAGAAACAAACACCGATCAGAAGACCAATCTCAGTACTGATGAGTGCTGAGGACACCATAGTAACTAGCCAGATCACCGTGTCCACCCTGCTCAAATGCCACATTTTTGGCAGGTCTCTGAACTTCCGCAGGGCACCTCTGAGGTTTACAATGGTTATGACAGCAAGGACACATTTCTGAAGGGAATAAAACAAAGGTGCAATCACAAGGAGGACTATTAGGATTAACAAACTAGTCACAACGCCAGAAACCTGTGTTCTACAGCCTGTTGACTCTTTAATAAGAGTCTTAGCAAGAGCTGCACTTGTTGTGAAGCAGTGGAAGAAAGAGGGAATGATGTTGCAGAAGCCAATGGCATACATTTCCTGGTTGGCCTTCACGGTGTAACCATGCTTCTTGGCAAACATTTCTGAGAGGGAAACAGTGATGGCAAAGCCAATGACAGCGATGGGGATAGCATCCAATGCCACGTTAGGAATCAGGTTCCAGTCAGGAGGGCTGGGTGGTAGAAAGCCAGTTGGGATGTGCCCAGCAACACTTGAGCCATAGGTTTCTTTCAGCTTCCCTAAGTGAGATGCCAGAGTAGCTGCCACAACCACAACTAATTCAACTGGAATTGGAGCCTTGAGCCTGGATTTAAAATGTTCATTAAGTTCCTTAGTTGGGATAAGAACAAGAAAGCACAAAAAGCTGGTGATGACATCACACATGTTAGTCTTGTGTATGTTTCTGAAGATGTTTATCCACGTGGTTATGAGGGAGCCGACGCCACTGCTCCGTGGAATGTCCAGACCCAGGAGGTACTTAGCCTGGGACGTCAGGATGGTAAAGGAGGCACCTGTGACAAATCCGCTGAGCAATGAATCGGAGAGGTACACTGAGACAAAGCCCACTTGAAAGAAACCCATGGCCACCTGCAAGGAATCAACCACATACAAGAGATTAGGATTCAAACTCTGTAGATGTCATCGTCGTGGGGATCTGTAAAAAGTGGTAAGAAACACGGCCTTGGAGGATGAGGCATGGTCTCAGCATGAAAAAGGCAGCCTGCAGTACTCGGCTGCTCCTTGTGCACCACGCTTAAATGAAACGCGCTGCCAACACACAGCAGGCTTTTTTAGAGGTCACTGAGGCCTCCTTGCTCTGAACCCACGCTTATTGTTGGCTCATTGGGTTCAGAAAAAAGGGTCCCAAGAAAAGCATTTGGAATACTAATTACTTTCACCATTTCTGTCTCAATTTCTTTCAATCTCTCTGAACTTTTGCAGAATCCAAAATCTATGCTTTTGTACGTCTCATGAAACAAAATATGACAGCCTGCAATAAAAATACAGCCTATGGTCTAACAGCTGCCCTTTGCACTGCATACAGCTTGCTGCATCCAACTTGGAAAGCATATGAGTTTCAAATTGTTGTGATGCAGATTACATAAATAGAGATAAACTTTTGAAGTGCCTTGGCATTCATTTTTATTAATGCTAGCTGAATGGAGAAGTCCTTGGTGTTCTCCCACAGGAGATCTCCCTAAGCATGTGAAGGGAAATATCCCTTCCTTCCCAACAAGCTTCGTGTTAAATGGAGCTAAATGTCTCTTTCTCTTCTCCTCTACACTTTGGTGAACTATCACTGTGAATGTCACTGTAGGAAGAAATGAATGTGAACTCACGAACTTAAACATCTCAGTTCTGAAGTACAGTTAAAACTAAATCAATTCTAGTTAATGCATGACAGTCTAAAAACAAAGATATCTGCTTTAATTTCAGCAAGCATTGAATTCTACGATCTAAGCAGAGACTGAAGAGTAAAATACCATTAAATAACATATTTTAGTATGGTCGTAACTAAAAGATTTGTTTCAAAACTGCTTTATTATCTCAGTAGTACCCTCTTCATATAGAATCATAGAATGACCTGGGTTGAAAAGAACTACAATGATCATCCAGTTTCAACCCCCTGCTATGTGCAGGGTCACCAAACACCAGACCAGGCTGCCCAGAGCCACATCCAGCCTGGCCTTGAATGCCTGCAGGGATGGGGCATCCACAGCCTCCTTGGGCAACCTGTGCCAGTGCTTCACCACCTCTGTGTGAAAAACTTCCTAATATCTAACCTAAACCTTTCCTGTCTCAGTTTAAAACCATTTCCCCTTGTCCTTTGTCCTATCACTATCCACCCTTGTAATACACAGTGGAATCAATTCGGCTTTGAATGGGCAAACAGCAAAGTTTCACAAAAAAAAAAAAAAAAAGCTTAGAGATAAATAAAAAGAAACTGGAAATGGCTTTATTGTTCAGGTTCGGTTTCTTTTTTGTTTGTTTGTTTGTTTTGTTTTTTTAATAAATGCAAGTGACTCAAGCTTACTTAACATGCCACATTTTGGCTCAGTGAAATTGAGCCCTGATATAAGATATAAGCCAGAAAATACAAGGCAGTGTGCAGATCAGTGTGGGTGCAGCAGGTCTGGCAATGTTCCATGCAGGACCTTGCAGTCACCAGCAAGCCAACAAAGCAAGTACAAAATGTTATCCAAACAGAAAGCAGATCACAGAGGAGTTTCTTGCACCACAGTAACTGGCAACATTCAGTCCTGCTTAGATCCATTTGCCCCAGATGCAGAGGACATGTGCAACCTCAGCAGATTGCCCATATGAACAACCACGCAGAGAATTAAAACTATTGCCACAGAATACTTGTTTGCCTACTTCCTCTTACCTGATAAACGCCAGCTATGAAGGTCATGGTGGCTCCCACTTTTATTGCGTAGCAGGTTTTATCACAGAGCAGCTTCTGTAATGTCTGGTTCACAGGCGCAGCGGTGGAGTTCACGTGCACTGCTGTATCCATGCGGTCACTGAGAGCAGCTGGCTCCAACTCATAGCCGGCTCTCAGCACCTCACGATCCACCACTTGTCCCACCATCAGGCAGAGCGCACCAAAGATACCAACAGAGATGTGGCGAGAGGTTCCAAATATGCAATAAATAATGCCTGCAAAGAAGGACGTATAAAGGCCATAAATAGGCTCCTGCCCAGCCAAGAGAGAATAAGCAATTGACTGTGGGACTAGCAAGACCCCCACAATCACACCAGACATTATGTCTCCCAGTAAGCACTCTTTTGGATTGTACTTAGGAAGCCACTGCACGATGGGAAAGAAACTCAAAGCACAGTCTTTAACTTTCGCTGGAGTGCAGCTGCAAGTTTTCTTCACTTGTTTAACCATCAGAGCCTTCAGGTTCCTCTTCTCCTCCTGAGGTTCCAAAAACATTCTGTGATAGAAGCCACGTTTAGCTTCACCTTCTTCTGGCATTTCAGACACTGCCTGAACGTTGTTGAATTCTGCCATGGCTGTCATCTCAAGGGCTCCCTAGCAACAGAAAGAAAGACTGCTTTATTAAACCATAAGTGAATCTGTTAGATCAAAATTCTTAATGGAGCTGGTTCAGAGGACACGAAAAGCAAGGGCTAGTAGTCTTGGTTAAGCACAGAAAGCAAGTTCCAATTAAACATGGAAAGAGTCTCTCCATTACATCCTTGTTAAACAAGGAATCAGCTTTCTAAGAAAGAAGCTGATATCCTGTAGAATAAACCTGCTGCTGCTCAAGTTGTGAAATGGAAAAGAATGCAAGAGCACTGTCGCCCAGAGAAGTTTCCCTGACTAAATTGCTGTTTGCAGACCGCTCCACTGCAGAAAGACAGGCACAGGGTTTGTTGTGGTCCAACAGTCACTTCAATCCAGTTGCTGAAAATTAACTACAATTAGTGTATTTCTCACACTGCACTGCTTGGTCTAAACTTCTTTTATATATGCATTCAATAAAACCAGTATTCTTCATGCACCAATTACTCCTGCAAACACTGTAAAGATTTGCTACCCATTAAGAAGTCTTTATTGACTTTATATGACTTTATTTCACCAGTGATACAATGGCAAAATGCTCTTTGCAATTTTTAGAAGCTGGTTTTGAAGTAAACTACATCTAGCTAAAACAGCACAAAAGGGAGGCAAGTTAAGGGGGACAACATAAAGTAAGCAGCACATTTCTGCCAGAACACGTGCTCCAACACAGGCTATGAACACCCAGTAAAACAAGGCAAGTATCCGTATGTGGGGCAGCCCTACAGCGGTTTACAACAGCCATGTCTCGAACCAACCAGGCTATCTAAAGTCAACACACTGCCTACTGTGGGTAGATTGCCAACAGGAAATACCAGAGGCAGAGGCTGGTGTTTTAGCCTCAAAAGATGCTTTCATTCACTACAGCACCTCTCTGGTGGGTAAGCTCCTGCTCCTCACAGAGAACTCAACACAGCTCACTTCTGGTAGCCGGCTGCTGTACCATTGCTGAAAGGCTGCTGTGCTTTGAGCAGAGACCTTCCTGGCTCCAAAGCCACAAATAACCTCACTGCACCAATGCCAGCCCCACCTGAATGCCATATGGGGACTGCAGGGCACTGTTTGGACCTACATACCAGAGAGAAGCCCTAGCACAGCAGTCAGGAGCACGACTCTTTGTGGCCGCAGTTCTGAGTGCAGGCTGAGGAGCAGCTCTGGGAAATTCATGTTCCAACAGGAAAAAAAAAAAAAGAGAAAAAAAGAAAAAAAAATGAAGCTTAATGCACTGCTGTGTTAGGTGAGTCCTAAGTGGAAAATTCCAGTTTGAACTCAAGTCTTCTTTCTGGAATCCATGTCCTTCTATAGAGTCTGGCCCTTGTAACTTAAAAAGCTAAGTTCTGGATCCAAAGATTACCCCACCCAGAACTGTAATACATTTATATTTTCAGGGATAACCTCACAAACGTATTTACTTGTCACCATATTTGCTCTCCTTGCTTAAGATAATCCTCCAGTACAATAGGCAGAAAGAGAACAAAGGTTCCGTTTTGCCTATGTGTGTTCTTAATCATCCCAAACCTCTCTCAGAGCCTCCCAGTCATGTAGAATTACTGTGCTACAAGCTTACAAACACACAATGACCAACGTCCCTTGGCTAACAGCTGTCAGCACAGTATCTTCAATGTATTTTAGAATGATTATAGGCTTAGAAAATCTTATGAAGAATTAGAGTATTCACTTCCTAATGAGGACACCTACAGTGCACGGTGCAACTGACTCAGGATGATACTGAGGGGATCGTGCTCCCAGGAGAATGCAGACTCCCAGCACTCATCCTCGCATTCCGGATATCTAATCTCACCCACCCACATGGTACTGCAAAGTCCAGTAGGGAATTATTTATAGCACATACAAGAAAAGCAAATGCTGCCCAGTGAGAACACAGAGAATTCGGTGCACAAAAGCACGTGTCTGAAGCACATTCCATATTTGTATTTGCTCAAGAGGTTTTATTCATTTCACACGCACAGAGTAAGAATTTAATAAGCTTTCATCCAATGCTGAGCAAATCAATACTGCAAAATCTGGGGGGGGAATTCCCCTCCAATTTTTTGTATGAAGCTACTTAGATCAGTTAATTTTCTCAGACTTCAGAAAAGATTCAGCAATGAGGACCCTTGTGGCTCCTCTCCCCTCACACAGGGCTCTCAGATCACTGAAGCCTGAGAATGTTTCTTGATCTGTCAGGAAACTCAAACACCAAACGCAGACAGCTCAGTTTAGCTCTGTGCAGTGCCATAAAACGTCTGTGCAGTGGATGGCACCTGGGTTGTTCTTCCACAGCACAAAAACATTCTAAGCAAAAGTCTTTTTGCCTGCTGAACTCTGAGCATACAGGGGATCTTTGTGCTCACCTGCACAACAGCTTTCTGTCCGTGGCAAGAAAAGGGCCTTTCACCACACAGCCCCAGCCTCTAACCATGGCAGGACACAAGGAAGTGACACACCATTTCCAACACCCATTTCACCCTTTTTTGCCTGAAAGTGTTGCTTTGCATTACTTTTGTAACCACGTAGCCCAACCACACGCAGTACAACTACATTTTTGTTTCCAAAAAGAAAAATTATTGCTTCAGTATACTGCTACAGTTAACCTGGAAAAGAAGCTGCAGTCTGTCACCATTTTCATGAAGTTACTTGTATGCCTGTAATTCACTTCTATCGGCTCCTTTTGGCCCAAGTAAGATCTTCAGGGGGTGTCTGAAGGTCTGAAGGCCACAGGGAACTGAGAACACAACACAGACTTGTGGAAACTTCCGGTATCTGTTCTGCTATCAAGTGGCTGCCATAAAATTGAGACACTAGAGGTTCCACACTACTGAGATCTGATGCCTTTTGCAGATTATTTCTGGGTCCCACCCAGCACTCTCTTGCTGACCCTCCGCCATTTACAGGCAAGGCACCATCCCAATGCTGGGCGCAGTGCTGGCAGCACGGGGTGAGTTGCACCTCCACGCATCCATCCCAGAACACAGACACTCAGACAGCAAGAGAATAACGGGCTGCAAAGCTCATTATCCTGGGCTGAGATAACGCATCACAAGCTAAAACTTAGACCCAAGCAATAAAGAATAGAAACTAAATAAAAAAGAAGTGCCAGTTCTATGACACCAATGTCAGCTTTCCAGATTACTTCTCTCGATGCCACTGGCGCATTTGACCACCTCATACTATCACCACCCAGGCTCACCCCACCCACCTGCCGGACACGAGAAGTTTCAGGCACGCACTCAAAAACCGGTGTATGAACACACGAGTGCAAGAGGCACGAACACTGTGAAGAGATGGGGAAGAGAAGCAGGTGAAGTGGAAATCCAAGTTCTGCAAGAGCCACTTTATAGAATCGTAGAAGCACCAAGGCTGGAAAGACAACTAAGATCATTAGTCCAACTGCCGACCAACGCTCTAAGCCTTCTCTGGAGGCGCTCCGGGGGCTCACCGCCCCTCTTTCAGCACGGGGCCCGGAACGCAGCACTGCAGACACAGAGGAAGTGCGGCCCGAGGCCGGCCCAGGGCTGCGCGCTGCTCGAGAGGCGGGCGCCGGGCTGCGGGGAGGGGAACGCGCCGGAGCACAAAACGCACCCACTTTTTATACTCCTGAAACCGCAGTGTTCGCGGAGAGCGTATCGTTTAGAATGACAGCAGGCGTTGAAGTATCCAGGATAAGGAAACGGATCGGTTTATGTAAATCCAGTGCCACCCTCTGGATCCGAACGGCGCTTCCCTGCGAACAGCTCACTTCGCTCCGCCGCTCCCCCCAGCTCACGCCGCGCGCTCTCGGCTTCGCCACTTTCGTTTTTTTCTTTCCTGCCGGCTCGAAACACCGCAGTCGAAGACCCTCCGCAAAAACGGGCCGCGGAACGCCGAGCCCACCGCAGAACCGCGCTGACAGCGAGGCTCGCACCAAGTTCACACCGCGAGCCCCGCTTCGACCGCCCCGCTCCGCCCGGCTCCGCCCGGCTCTGCCCGCCGCCAACTCAGCACGGCGTGCGGCTGCCGGCCGCGGCTCCGGAGGCTGCAGGCGGCCCGGCAGCTCCCGCCTCCCCGCCGCGACCCGGAGCCGCCCCAGCCGCGCCTCCCGTGGCCGCCGGAGGAGCCCGGAGGCGGCCCAGCGCGGAGGGACGGGCGTGCCCCGCCTCGCAGCCCGGCCCGAGCCCCGCGCTGCCTCCTGGCAGCCCTCGGTGCTCCTAGAGATCCTGCTCGTGAGAAACAACGACGGGCAGCGGGGCCCAGCAGCCCTCACCCTGCCTGTGCCTTCACTGTCAGCGCTTGGAGTGAAAAATGTGTCTGCTCTCACTTAATTAGCTTTTTTTTTTTTCTTTCTTTCCATGCAAAGGCACTGGTAATGCTTCAGTTCTTACTTTCTAATTCGTTCCATGTGTGTTCTGAACTACCAGCGGCCTGACAAAGCCTCGTGCAGTCACTCATTGTAATCTCCTCCACAAAAGGAGCAGCCCAAAAAACTGAAGAGACAACTAACAGGAAGAACTCCCGTGAGCAATCTGTGTATTTGCTCGTTGAGCCTCTCCAACTTTTAAATTCAAACATTAATAATTTGTTGGTAATATTAAGCAAAATGACCTGAACTTTCCATGGCTACTGTAGTTATGGATATCGTAACAGTCTGTTACAGAATCACAGAATTGTTGGAGTTGGAAGGGACCCTTAAAGGCCACCTGGTCCAACCCCCTGCAATGAACACGGACACCACAGCTCTATCAGAGCTCAGAGCCCCTCCTGACCTTGCGTGTCTGCAGGGATGGGGCACCTCGGTAACCTGCACCAATATCTCACCACTCTTATTGTAAGGAACTTCTATCTTGCATCCAATCTAAATCTCCCTCTTCCAGTTTGAAACCATTTCCCCCTGTCCTATCACAACAGACGCTGCTAAGAAGTCTGTCTCCTCCTTTCCCTTAGTCCCTCTTTAGACACTGACTCTGCTTTGGGGTGCTGTTGATACTCACTGCAGTGTTTCAAGTTGTTTGCTTCAGTACCCAGATGTGTCTGGGAAGCATGTCCAGCTATGAAGAGCATGGACTCTCTGACTGTTCCCTACTGCAAGAGCTCAGTACTCTTTTTTTATCTTCCCCTGGACTAGGGGGTCATGGTCACAGCAGCTGAACCCGCTTCCCATCCCTTCCCTGTTAGTACTGAAGAACTACATTATGATGACATTATCTGAAATCGAACATTGCCTAATATTTGCATTTCATGTGGAACCTTGAGCTGCCAAACACCACGTCAATATATGAATGGAGAAAGCAGTGCTAAAGATCTTGTATTTAAGATCTGTCGTTCTGTTTTACCGGAGTTTTACTGGAGTTTAAGGTATGGTGACAGCAATGCTATCAGAGTGAAACCGTGTGAGGACTGACATCCATTATAAAAGCACAAAGAAACAGCCTTTGTGCAGGAACTGTGTAGAAACCTAATGCCACAAAGCAAAGAAATGGACTCAGAGCTTTTTCATTGCCTTTCTGGTGGTGCTGGCTGTAGACCAGCTTGGATCATCAAACACATTGTGTCATCTTCAGAGCAATGGGGAAAGAGTATCTTCATGGGGCACAAATAAAGAAGGTGAGATTAAAGAAAGACATCCCAAGCACTTTTTTTTTCAGAATCACTGCTATTGTTAGGGTTCTTTTTCCTCCTTATACTGTACTATACTTATACAAGAGCTACTGTTGGCTTTTACTGTACATGAGCTACTGTTAGATTGCTGGTTTTTGTTTTTTTGGGTTATTTTATTTTATTTATTTTATTTTATTTTATTTTATTTTTTTAATGCTGTAGATTGATTTTCTAAAAAGTGGGGGAAAATCCAATTTAAGATGAGTAAATCATTTAACTTCCCATTACTTTCCTTTTCCTAAGGTATATTAAGTTTTATGGTTAATGCATGGTTAATTTCTATGTGCAGGGAACCTTTGGCCATGGAAAAGTCTGACTGGGTTTCTCATGCTAAGGAATCTCTTGCCAAAGAACCTGACCTGAGGCTTGCTGATGCACAAATGCTGACACGTGCCACCTCCCCATCCTGCTTAGTCTACAAGTCAAACCTGCTGCCTCTGTTTGCCCAGGTTTCGCCATCGCTTTTATGATTGTGAATCTTCAGAGAGCAGTTCATTGGCCTACAAAATAACATTGTTCAACAGCTCCAGTGTGGGACAGCTGGGTGTGGTGAAAGCCACTAGAAACACGTCTTCTTTCTTGTCCTTCCTTGTACAACTTGTCATTTAACAGACCTCAGGCTCGGATTTGCAGAACGTTGCATGGAATTTGCAGATGGAGAAGATGAGCACTGCTTCATTTGCTGCACAGAGAGTTGTGTCTCTATCAGCTTATAGGAGCTTGTGCAACCCTGCCTCTGTGTGCAAGCAGCTTGTCTGATCACCCAGAGGAGACGGAAGACAGGCATTTCTGGAGAGAGCCCAGCCAGGGTAAGAGAGACAGCTGTCACCCACCCAGCTGCACTCTGCTTTAATTCCATCCTCACTGCACACAGCCGTGCTGCTGGTATTATAGCAAATGGCACTGGGCAACGTAAAGGAAAATAAGGACAAAACAGAAATAATGTTAAGCTGTCCTGAACTTCTTCAATGTGAGCAATCCAGGGACTTGGAACAACCTTCTGCGGAACGTCTTGACATCTCCAGTGTGGAAACCCAGGTGGTGCTCCTGGGCTGGTGCTAAGCTGCTGGTTGGAGCAGGCCCTGGTGCCAGGCTGAGATGCGGTGCATCCGACCTGCTTAGAAAGCCCATCAAAGTAAGTAACAGAAAGATGTTCTGGCTTTTGAAAGGCACTTTTTAAAAAAATTTGATTATAAATTCAGCCACATGCTTGGCAAGAGCAAAAAGAAGCTGTAAAGTCAGCCATTTCACTCTCAAAAGTTTCCATCAAAGATGAGACAAAGGCCAAATAAAGATGGCGTGGATGGAGGGAAGGGAGCATAATAGATACTGGAAGTTGTAATTAATCAGACTATTTAGGTAATCAAAATACTTAAGCCGTAAAGACATAAAAAAGAAATTAGCTCTGTCCATATCTCTGGACTGTATCTCTACAGTTATATTAAGAGAGATTGCTCTGTATTAATAGTTGTGCAGAAATGCTGAGCTCTCAGTGAATGCCAGAGTCCAATACGGTCTCCTAGAATAAAAAAGCTAAGTGATACATTTTTTAGTGTTTCTGTGGAGTACAAGGCTTAGTTACTTACTGGACTCCAGTGTGCTTTCTTACATTCCTTTCTCTGCCTTTCACTTCTCTTTGCTTCCTCAAGGCTGATCTGTGGGATTTTAAAAATGTGACTCATGTCAAATTCTCTGAAGTTCATCTCTGCTAATCTTGCAAGTCAGACATAATCTCCACCATCAGCTTTGTGTCTAACTCAGAAAATCTGCATTCCTGAATATTTGTTTTCATCCAAAAGCTTTGTGAGCCTGTGGCAGTACTGAAAAATACGTTTTCTCCAATCTGAATGAAATGAAATTATTGATTTTGCCATTTAGCAGCAGTTATAAAGTTCTCATCTGGCAATGGCGCAATGCCCAGGGAGGTGCTGCACCCCTGGAGGTGCTCAAGAACCATGGAGGTGTGGTACTGAGGGTCGTGGTTACTGGGCATGGGGGGGATGAGAGCTGGACCTGATGATCTTGAGGTTTTCTCCTACCATGATGATTCTGTGATTCTACGTTCATGTTCATTTAGCCTGTAATAGAGCCACCTTCTTCTGCTCCGTTTTGGCAAGTGCTACAGATTCATGTATGGTAAATCTAGTAGTGAAGAACTGCATGAACTTTTCAAATCAAGTGCTATGCAAGTTCCATCCAGGTAATTATTGCCTTCTAATTGCTATCTAATACTCTAATACATATATTTTATATGTATATATATATATATATCCTGGGACACAGGAAGATGTTTGTAACACAAGTCCACACCAGGGAAATACTAAACTGATATTTCACAATGGGATATGGAGGTGCTGATAATTGCTAAGTGTAGCCAACTGAAGAGATGCAGTGAGGTGGAGAGAAGGGAGCTACTCAAAATACCTTGCTGAATAACCTCTCACTCTGTACTGATTTGCAGCAGCACAGTGAGTTGCTGCCTGCAGCAGAGCTGAGCTGCAATTGCTGGTCATGGCTCCTTTGCTTGGGGTGAAAGCAGTAACTACCTGGCAGAGAGCAGCCTTAGTAATAAAAGCACTGAGGGACTGGCTCGTTTCTTTTGCTTTATTTTAGTGGTTGAGAGTAGCTGTCCTTTATGTCCTGCTGGCTTGCAGTGGTAGGGAACATTTGCAAAGTCACCTTGAGCTACTGCTGAGCTCCCAAGATTTGGCCATGCAGTTTCTGTTATGCTGACAGCAGAAGCATGCAGCAGAGCAAAGGCTGCAGATCCACAGCAGTTTTGCAGTCCATTTAAATCTGGAAAGGAGATGTTGCTGCCTCGATTGTTTTTAATCCCTACAATTAAGTCCCTCCAGTCCAGATCACTTGGAAAATGCAGCAGTGATAACCATCAGGAGCTGTGCTGGGAGCAGTGGTGCTTGTGTAACACTTGCCCACCTCACTGGGTTGCAGCGCTCCCAGGCATGGCCCAGCTGTGGAGACAGCCCTGTGCCTCCCCAGGCCCAAGTTCTGCACTTCCCAGATTTCAGAAGAAGCAAAGGAAAACAATGGCATGGAAATAAGGGAGGGGAAGGCATTACAGACATTAGCACTGCTCCTACAACAGCAACTTACTGAGAAAACCAGGTGCGTTTGCTGATCACCTTTCCAAAGCTCATTTGTGATGCTGAGTTTCATTACATACATAAAGTGTTTTTGTTTGGTTGGTTTTGTTTTAATATTAAGTGTTCTTATTTAAGTGATTCATCTTGTGCAAATTCACCAGGTAAAGTCTCTTCATTTTACTGGGAGTGCTGAGGACACCATATTTAATTTTTAAATGCTCAAAATGGAGGCCAGCAGCCACACAGACCAGAGAATGTGAAATTGGAGTGTGAAAGCAGAGACACTAGCCACATGAAATGTAACATGCACTTCCATCTGTACTGGAAAAGGGAATTGGAGATCAGCAATTTCATTGCACACCCCATCAGCACGCAGTCCTCACATGGTAAACCACTGATTTCAGTCATCTCTCTGTCACACCAAAAGGAGAGGACACTAACAGAGAAGGTTCTGCATTAGGATCAGGCCTTTTTCAGTCCCTTCATATAGTGATGGATGGCCACGGTATTTTGCATGGCTCTTTGAGAAGTCTGTACGAGTGTTTAATGTGTCTTGGAGGTTGTAACACAACAGAAAGCATGACAATGACAGCAAAGCAGCAAGGTTCTAGGCTGCAACAAGTGAGGAATTGCTGAAACTCAACAGCCACGGGCACAGAAATAAAGGAAAGAAGCTGCTTACTTTCAGAAGGCGTCAGGTATGCCAGGATCTCCAGCAAGATGCCTTCACCTCCACTGCCAACCCTTAAATGAGGTCTGGGAAGGGGTGGATCCTGGCTCCATCCCTGAACTCCCATGGGTTGTATGCACCTGAACTCCCCTGGGTTGGCCCCAGCACCAGGTGCTCAATCACTGCTTCAGGCCATGAAAACATTTCCACAACAGAGGCTGACTAAGCTATCATACAAAGACAATTCCATCTTTGCTGTAATGATCACTTGTTACGTGTGGTTATCCAAATAGTGCCACGGTCCTGAACAGCTTTCTATTGCAGCCAGCCACAAGCAGTGTTCCTAACAATTAATCCCCACTGATGGTATGGAATCAAACAGCCTTTCTTGTTTATATCTACAGCTCTTTATTTGGTTACGCTACTGTAAAATGGCAACGCAGTCACTTCAACTAATAGGACAGGAGAAACATTAATGCTACAAGATGCTGTAGTTGGAGATTTTCTTATGTTCATGTTAATACTTGACACTTCTTTTCAAAATTTGCATTGCTATAGAACTGCTTTTAATAGGAGGTTCATATGGAAGACCAAGACACTTAACGGCAACCTGGAGTTAAAGAACACTTTGGACAATCTTTAACTTCCTTCTCTCCGTGTTCTGAGCTTTTTGGCATCTCCCTTTCTTCCAGGAATACGTATACCATCCACTTTGTCCACATCTTCATCCTTTCAGTTGGTATTATACTGTAGAAATACACAGGATGAAAAAGATTCACACAGTAATAATAACTGTAATACTGTAATAATCTAAGGCTGGCTCTGTTAAAGCCAATGCAGCCATATTGTTAAGTTGAGCTGTGTAATTTAAACTGTATTGAATAGTTTAGTGGTACCACCTACCTCTTGTGCTCTCCATCTATTCCAGTTACTGAAATTTATGGCATTATTTTCGTTTTTTCTTCCCAAATTTGCCTGGTAAAACAAACAGATCTGCAGTTAGGACAAGACAGCACTGTTTTCAATCCTCTACATCCTTTCCAAAGTGAAATTTTATCATCAATCTATCCATTAGAAATGCTTGTCACCATGGAATCTTTTCCCTTCCAAAACTTAAAAAGTGGTGAAGAAAGTGTCACTTCTTTGAATTTAAAAAACAGAGAAACAGAACAAAACTTATTTTGTAAGATGAACTTCAGTTGCAGAAAAGCAACGATTAAATCTTTCAACTAACTTGTACACAAGTTTTCCTTAGAAAAAATTTATAGGACAAACACCACTTCCTACCCAGCAGAAGGCTGTTTGTGCATTATGGATATCTGAGGAGTAATACTGTTTACAGGTTTAATATCTCCTGCAGCATCTGAATTTGTTTCTGGATGTTTTCAGGCACTGGTCTTGCTCACAGGGAACTCTTCTTTGGTCTTTCCCAGGGGCAGGCTCAGACGTTTACTGAGTACCAACACAAAACCTGCCTCTCCATCAAGCTCAAGATAAATAATTTCTCTGTCAAGTTTCCACAGATTTCTGCAGATCTTGTGAACTGTGCCCAGAGGCTGCACTTCTGCTGGTCTCACCTCTCTCATGGAGAAGAGAAACATACAAAAAAATGTTGCTGACACTTTTAGGTGAGATATTTTCTCTGCAAGATGCACAGCCCCATGCCAGCCTCCTGAGGAACAGTGAGCATTTTTGAACACTTACTGTTTGAACTGCTACCAGCAGCTGGATCCTCACTGTAAAGAGACAGCAGTGAGTGTTAGTGGCTCATAGAACATAGATCACATCTTGGAAATAACAAAACAGGTGATGCTTATAGATCTAACCCCCTATTTTGAGATAAATGATGATTTCCACATATATGTCCAGCCCACTAGTTTTCTGGTTCTGTTGCCATCTTTTGTTTAATATTTGAATAAAAAAATGTATTTTAACAAGTTCTCAGCTATATTATATATTTTATATGCAGCCCAAGACAATTCCTTTTCACTTAATGCAGCGGGGCACAGCAAAAGGTTGGATGTCCACGTCTAGGATCTGCTTGGCTCTTCCTGAGACCAAAGCACAGGACCAGAAGATGTACAGGCCTTAAATTCTGCTGCAGAGTTATTTCATAACTAAAGAAAAGGACTTACCTCTTCCACTTAATCTGGTTAGTGAGTAGTCCTAGGAAAGATTGAGAAGAATGTTTTACAAAGTTGGCAGTGCATTCAAGTCTGTGACTTGGCGCTGTGCACTTGAGACCACGGGCAGAGATAAATTCAGTGGGAAGGAGGGTGGGCAAACAAAGAAAATGTTTCTCAAAATCAGGATTGACTGTCTACTGCCTTGCAGGCAGGAGAAAGCAGGGAACCAGTGCAGAGGAAGGAGAAGCTGGCTTTACACAAGTTTGGAGCCCTTGTTTTCAACTCCAGAATCAGCCTTACTTCCCCTTCCCTCCTACCTCTCCATCAGCCCACACTGCACTCTGAAACCCCCAAATCTCACTTGAGTTCTCACTCTGAACCTTTGTGGGAAGGAGCCAGCGCTGGGCACCAAGGGGAGGAGGCTCTATCACACTCAGCCACGCACTGCTGTTGGGTCAGGGCAGGACACTCACTGTGCACACTTTGCAGGTACGTGTCCAGGTGGGATGAGCAGTCCCCCATCAGTGTCTGGAAGCTGCTGACAGCGGTCTCGTTCAGTTCCACCGCTGACACGTCCATCTTCAGACAGATCCTGAACTTGTGACTCGAAATGCTAGGATGAAAGCAGGCATTTCAGCACAGAAAGCCATTTAGTGTTGAAGATTTAACAAACTCTTTTATTAAGAAGGACTCTGCAAAGAGGACAGTGCATTGTGGTGTAAACAACTCTTTGTTAAGGTTAAACAAGTCACAGCTGTTAAAATTAACAATTTATTTGGCATTACCTGTTACTTACCAGACCCACAAAAGACCTTTGAAATACTGAAATGAGAAAGGAGGAGCCATAGTGTTTTTGTGAGAAGCTGCTTTGACCTCTTGCAGGCAGGCTGCCACTGTTCTAGCACAATGACCATTGTGATAAAAAGAAAACGCCAGACCTATTAAACAGTCTCCAGGCTTCTGGAAAACAGCTTCGATCCCACAGGCTACATTTTGATTTGCACAGAGCTGCGAGTAACGGAAGGCACTGCTGCCAGCACAGTTGCCAGGTATGCAGTGATTCTAAGTTATCCTTACCGTCAATCTCAGCCTTAATTTGTGCAAGGTGCAGAGATGAGCTCTTTAGAATCCAGCTAGACGTTAGAGCTGGCCCTTCATGAGACTGAGGAGTTTACTGCAGCAACAGAATCCCCGGTGGATACGTAACTTAATGTACTGGCAGTGTGGTTTTGCACCATTGAATTACAACAGACACCCAGATGTCAGTTAGGAAGTGGTAAGTTATAAATTAAATGTATCACTTGCAGGAGAAGGCAAGTGCTCTGTCAAGTCATTACACTTGTCCACAAACAGAACCAAACTGAGCTGGTCGTCTCCACAGCCAAGGGCTGCTCAGTGCAACTAAGTGTGGGAATGTCACAGATACACAGCTGGGAGAGCACTGCTGTCTGTAACCTGAACCCTTATGGTCTCCATCTCTAACAAAAGCCAGTAGTTTTCCCCAGAATCCAGTAACCATGTAGCTAAAGAAACTGAAGCTGTTTTGGGCCACTGGAATGGTCAGCAGCTATGTCCCCATCTTTGTTAGTTGTGTGGGCATGGTGCCCTCTGGCACAGATGGAATAGGGAGCAGCTTTGCAGACGGGGTTCCAGGACAGAGGGGCACATGCAGCAGGTTTGATTTCAGTTACCCACATCATATTTTTTCAAGGAAAACAAGTGTTTTCAGATGGAATGAACCTGTCCAGCACCAGCCTAAATTCCTGCGATTAAGATTGAAAAAAAAGAAGAAGAAATCATTAGTGTAATTTCCAGAAAGGGCAGCTGGCTGAGAATCGGGCACACGAACAAAGAACAGCTGCTTACTTTGACGAGGTGGAAAGTGTTTGGTTGTTCTTTTATCTTCTGCAAGGACTGAAGATGCTGCACAAGCTCAGCTCTCTTTTCTTCCATCTCTTTCTTCTGTTTAGCGCATTCTGCCAGTTGTGATTTCTCACTGGATTGAATATCACTGAAGATCTTCTTCTCTTTATTTTTTATCTGTGTCTTTATCTCTCCAAACATCCTTTGCAGCAGGAAAGTCACTGCTTTCGTATTGCTCTAAATGAAGAGAGAAGAAAATGGTGCACTGGCTCAGGCGCTCAACTAGGGGTCTCTACTAGATTTGTATCTGTCCTTTCAGCTTTAGAAGGAAGCAGACAATAAGCGTTTGCTTAGATTATGTGATAAACACAACAAATTCTGAAAATTACCCTGCTGGAGCAACAAAATCGGATAAAATCCAGCTAGCAGTGTGAGAACCACATTGCTAAATGCAATACCTTTATTTAAAGGATAAAAAGCTTTAAAAATATATAATGCTATGCACAGACTGTGGTGTGCAAATGACTAAACTCTGCCAGTCCTGCCACCACAATGAAAGGTGGAGTTTCCCAGCTGGTTCCTTCTGAGAAGCTATGCTGGGAGGCTATAAAAAAGCTTGATGGGAGCTTCTTAAATCAGTGTTTTCCCCACTTTGGACTGCATCTCCTTCTATTCATCTTTTTTTTCTACTTGTACTGATAGTTGAAGAGCTGGACACCTAGATGATACCTGAATTTTCCTCCTGATTTGACAACTGTTCTAGCTAAAAGATTCTATGTTCCTTGCTTACCATATTTATTCTGCAGTTGTAATAATACTAACAGCCAGTATATTTCATAGCGAGCACCACTCCTAATTAATTAATTCTTGCAAAAGAGACAAACTAGATCCTAAAACCCAAATAACCACATGTTAAAATGTAGAGAAGAGTTGCAAAGGATTGGTTTGACCGTTCCCAAGGGCTCCAGATGGAACGAGGAAGGCAGCCCACAGCAGTGCAGTCAGTGGAGGTCACTGGCTGCCATTCAGGCACAGCTCTGCCCTGTCACAGCCTCAGCATCCCTGTGCAGCCCTGGCTTGAAACTGCTGTCACAGAGCAGTTTCAATACCACCACCTGTTTGGGGCTGTGCCTGATGTTTTCAGTAATTACTGGAGTGCCTTTGCAGGTGAATCTATCAGGACAACTTGCTGAATGTGACACCACGGTATTATTGCCATCATTTATTTCTTAGAAAACACGGAGGGAAGATGCTCTGAATTAGTCGTGACCTGGGTGCATACCTCAATCTGATTCTTGTTTCGCTGAAGCTCCTGGAGGGCGATAGATAAATAATTTGTGTATCTCAGCAGCCTATCCATAGTGTGAGAGAGGTCATCCTAGCAGAAGAAAAAAGAGCATTGAACTTCACAACAGGGAAGCAGCATGTGTATTATTAAACCAGGCCAGCTGTTTGTGGCACTGGTGAAGCAGCATGTGTGCTTGCTTTCTCCAACACCATGGTTGCAGTAAGCTCTAAAATAGGCTGTGTTACTTGCCTCCTTTTAAAGGTAGGGTAAAATGGCAAAACCAATATAATTTTTGAAGTCTTTCAAGCCAGTGTTCAATGTTGATGTATGCGTGACTTTGTATATGGTAGATTAATCAATTAAAAACCTTCCCTTTGAATAAGTAAATTTCTCTTTAAATGAATAAATCTCACTTTGTCTGTTCAAGTTCTGTTCCCGTCAGAACCTCCGCATGTGCTTAATGTAATCCAAACCCTTGGTTTTCACATCTGTCAGTGTTTGTGGCATCCATGGGCAAGGTAACAAGTGACCATCTTTTCAGGACGTTAGCAATACATCAGTACTTACTCACCCAGCTGCGTACTTTGGTACAGTCCCTGAGTGCTGTTACAATGTATGATGGCAGGTTTCTGGGTGATGTTAAATCTCGCTCTTCAGGGATGAGGCAGGCTCTAGACATTGCTCAAAGCAAGTCTGGACGTGGCTCCAGGCAGCCTGGTCTAGTGGATGGCGACCCTGCCCACAGCAAGGCATTGAAACTAGAAGATCTTTGAGGTCCTTTTCAACTCAGGCCATCCTATGATTCTCTGATCGCTGCCTGGCTGGTGCTGGCTACTCCTCACCTGCTTCCAGCAGTGTTTTCGCACCTCCTGCATGCACTAATGGCCACAGCAGCACACATGCCAGTTTTTTAAACCTCTTGAGTAAAAAATGATACCAGAAAGCTTAGGTTTTTTGTTGTTTTGTTTTGTTTTCTGTGAGATATTTGTCATAGCTGGAAAGTTTTAAGTTTTGAAAAATGTAAAGATGAAGAATCAAATCTGACTGAGGTTCCTTGCCCCGAAAGGCTTTTGTGAGAGGAAAAAGCGCCGCTTTGGAGGAAGAGCTTGGTAATCTCCTCAGCCACCACAGAGGAGGAAATGACAAGCAAAGCTCAGCACATAGGACCAGCATGCTGCTATGCCCGTGGTGCCCCTGCCTGCCTTCAGCCCCCATCCCCACCCCAGAGCAAGGGTTAAGCGTTCCTGCCCCCACCCCCATGCTGTGCCCCTCTGCCCCCATGCCCAGGCTCTGCAGTGAGACATGCAGGGCCTCGGGGAGAGGAGAGGAGGGCCCCTTACCAGGTTCATGTCATGGGCCTCCTTCAGGGTGAGGATCTTGTGGCCCTTGTGGCACCCTGCAATGGAGCACAGCACGCAGATGAACTGCCTCTCGTCCTGGCAGAAGTACTCCAGGACCTTGCCGTGCTCCTGGCACCTCCTCTCCTCCATCGAGCCGCCCGTGCCCACCTCCACCAGGACGTGGTCCCTGTGGGAGGCCCTGGCGCCGTGCTTGTCCAGGTGGGCCTGGCACAGGGAGGCATCGCAGATCAGGCACGTCTTCACGGCCGGCTGGGGCTTGTCCAGGCAGAAGTCACAGGGAACTGCCTCTCCGTTTTCCATCGCAAAGCCCTCGTCCTGCTTCCCTTTGTTGGCCAGATACGTCTCCACGATGCTGCACAGATGGAAGTTATTTTGCAGTTCCAGGGTGGGCCCCAGCTCGACCCTACACAGCGGGCAGGAGTAGGGGGCCTTGTCCTGCTGCTGGGTGCTGAGCACCTTCTGGACACACTGCTTGCAGAAGCTGTGACCGCAGCGGAGTGACACGGGGCTCTTGTACAGGGACAGGCAGATGGAACAGCTGAGTTCATCTTCTAAGCTACAAGAGGCTCCAAATTCTTCCTTTGCTTTTGCCATGGCTGCACCCATAGACAACACCCACCAGTCTGCCAGAAACGAAACTGAAAGGCACAGGGCCAGCCCTGCAGCCCCGCCCCCTGCAGCCCGGTGCAGCCCAGCCCCCTGCACTCCGCCCCCTGCTCTCTGGGGTGAACAAAATGCTCCCCCATGTGAGGCGTGTTATCGGCAGTTCGCCTGCAGCCCTGTGCCCAAGTGAGCCCTGGATGCGATGTGCCTTAGCCTGGCTGCAGCAAGCCAGGCGTTCTCTGCTTAGACGCGCTCTCCTCAGCTGCTCCAAGCACCACCATCCTGCTGGTAACCCAGGATAGGAACAGACCTATGGCAGTGCTGTGCAGGACACGGAGGTAAAAGCTGGTGCACTAGAGCAGAGATTGGCAATGCTGCTTTGAGTGCTGTAGCATTCACGTTGTGCCGTATATCTAATAGACTAGGTTACCACCAAGTTTTGTGAACAAAATTACTTTAATAATATCCATCCAACACAGCAATCCATACAGTTCAGCAAAAGTACAATACTTGAAACAGAAGTACTAAAAACCTGAGATGTATTTGATGGTAGAGCCTCATTTTCTCATTCTCTCACTCAGCCCACAGCTGCAAAAGACCTTATTATAGCTCAGGAGCAGGCCTGAAGCCTGGCTTATACTGTGCCAGTGTGGCAGAGTCTGTGCAGCTGCAGCCCCAAAATATAGAGAACCAAGGAGCAGAAAGGCAAGGCAGCCTTTCCCCCAGGTCACTATGTGAGTGAAAGGGAGCCATGAGAAATGTTGAAGATAGCATAGACAGGAGAGCTTGCAGGGATGATTACTGCAGCTATGGGCACACAGCTCCTAGAAGAGCCCAAATAATCCTTGACAGACACATCAAAAAATGACACTGTCTTTCTTTCGCAGTCTAGTTGTACCCTGACCATTCTGATGGCTGTGTTAAGCAAATGGACTTTAATCTGTCTTTTATCTAGAAACACACGGAGATGATGCTGAGGCGACATTTCCAGGTAGCATTGAAAACTGTTATCAGTGACACCCACTTTCCAGTACAATGAGTCACGGGTGATCACCTCCCAGAAGTGCTGGCCACTCGAGAAGCAGCTGGTGCTGTACACCCAGAACGGCATCTCAATTAGCACAGAAAATGGGTAAGATGGCCCAGCTATTCTGAGCACCGTGTCATCTACATGTAGTCCACATGCTTGACGTGATTGGAAAGTCAGATGTTCATGAGCTACAAAAACAAACAAAAAAAACCACGTTATGGTTCACAGATGGTTGTGCAGATCAACATACATCTCCATTGCTGGAAACAAAGGTGTAAGAAATCTTGAACCCAAAGTTATTAGAAGTGTATTCATTAAGTACACTCTCTGCACCTCTCTTAGCTACTCCTACAGAGTTCCAAGGGGAGTGAATATCACGTTTCAAGAAATACTTCCATTTCACAGTTTTAACACAACTTTTGCTTTCTGTTTCCAACTGCAGCAACTCCCTCACCATTATCCCGCAGAGCTTCATTATGTGTTCTAAAACGCTCTCTGGATCAATCCCCATGCACAAGTATGCAAATGTTTTATAAAATTATTTGCTTATTTCATTTGAAGCCATTTCCTAGAGCTCTCAAAAAAGCCCTAAGCATTGGCTGCCACAGACAGTTAATCCTGCCCTGTTTTCCTTCATACTATCTCTTGCAAGTAATATATTTCAGTATTGCAGCTTTTTTTACTCTGCAAGTTATCGTTCAGTAGCTGTGAGCTGGCAACTAAAACTGCTCAAATGGGATAGGTAATTACAAAAGTCTGCTCAAGAGGGCAAGAACATGGGAACCAGAACTTTTTTTAATTCAGCTGGACAAGATCCTACAGCGCACAGCACATCAGTAATGCTGATCCTTTAAAACAGCACGAAAGAGTACAGTTATTTAGACAGAAAGAGCAAATCATTTATATTTGTAAACAAATTCCACCTGCTGCTGTGGAGTGCTCATCTCTCCTGTGCCACTTTGATGCTAGTGACAGAAGAGATGTTGCTACACTCTTCTCTTTGTCCTCTCAGAAAACTCCTAGACATCTGCACCTCACCACCCACAGCTCATTGTACTGGGGTGCCTCCGAGTCCCACAGCGCTGACGCCCAGAGCAAGCTTTCCTTTTGTTGCACACATACGTGAAAATAATCAAATGCAGTGTCAGCAATCAGTTCTAGAGGAACTTGGTGTACTTGCTGTATTTTTACAGCCCTTTCTTAAATATGCTTTGCTGACTCTCTGTCTTACCTCTTACTTAGTGAAATAATCACTTACCAAATGACGATTCCATTGAGGACTCTGCATCCAAGATTAAGTGGTCATAAGGCTGGAAATGCTCTTGAATGATGTTCTTCATTGATTCATCCATAATAGCGAGCTGCTCTGCCAGTTCTGTGCCATCTTTATTAGGAACTTGTTTCCTCTTCCTAGAACATACAGAAAGGCATCAGAACAGCAGTGAGTCATGGGAAGATGTTACCAATCCCAACGCTGAGTGAACAACTGAGCCAAGCAGAGGGCAATGCAGTGCTGGGGACAACTCTGACTATCTAAGCTCATCTGTTCTTTGCATGTCCGCACAGGCATCTCAATATTCACAAACTGCCCCAAGCTGGTCACAGGAATGGGTGCTGATGGTTCAGAAAAGTCAGTCATGTTGTATGCGGAGATTCACACACGATATCAGTGAAAATTCTGGGGCTTCTTCAGGTCTCTGAAGGAGAAAGGTGCCAAGCATGCATCAGTGTGCTGAAACTGGCAGCCGTCGTGAGCCCAGCATAAGCCTGGGAAGCTGGGCTTGCCCTGTGTGCCAGGTGGGCAGACAGCCTGGGACTGAGGGAGTGACAGCCGTCAGCAGCTCAGTGAAATGCAACAGCAGACCACCAGTGAAGAACTTACCTGGCTTGTATTGCTGACAAACCCTGTAAAAAAGGCATTATGAAAGCAGGATTAGCACAGTACAAAGGCCAACACAAGTGCTGCAATATCTCTGGGAAGGGCTGTTATGTACCTTAAGGAAGAGTACGGGATCCTTCTGATCCCTCAAAGCCTTCAACTCCTGCACACTGCGGCTGGCGGCATCCTTCATCTCTTTGTGTTCTTTTATCCACGGCTCAATCTGAGAAAGCTGTTGCTCCTCAATGTCACTGATGGCTCCCAGGATCTCCGTTTTGCTTCTATCCAGCTGCTCACAAATCAACCTGAAGGAGTGCTCCACATGATTCCTGTGCAATCTTTCCAATGCCTTTTGAGAAAATATTTGCAAAACTATTAGGGATGAAATGTTACACTTTCCACACTCTCTCTCACTTAGAAAGGAGCCTGATCTTTTCTGCACTTAGAGAAGTATCATTTACTTCTTCCACATAGCAACATAGCAAGATGTCTCATTGACAGCAGATGGGCCAATTGACATAGGTGCCCTACTCCTGCATCTGGCAGCTGACCAGAGAACACCTGGTAGCAGTAACTGGGGAACAGTCTCATTCCCTCTGGATAGACTCCAGCTCCTCTTCCCTTGGGTTTCCAATACTGGGAAGTTCAGTGCTTTCAGGAGCACCAGAATGATGCTGCCAATGACTAAGTAGCAATTCTTGCACTAAGCTTGCTTAAGGCTTTCTGCTATGCATCTTTCCTTTTTCTGCACTGGTAGTTTTCCATGGATATGTTCTCTTTCGCTCTTTTAAAGAAGGGTAAGGAAGAATGCTGTAACTGCTTACTGCCTCCACCAAATTGCCTTCACTGTTAGCAAAAAGCTGTGCTGCCCCAAACAGGACACTGCCAACAGTACAGTTTTGCCTTCAGACAAGAAGGGAGTACTTCCCCTGTCTGGTGCCAGGACTTCCACTACTTACAGCCCCATCATTTCTACCGGTGGAAGGAGTCAAGTACATTTGCATGCCAAAAAATTCAAAACACTTTGGGATGGTCTTTTAACCTCCCATCTACCAACTTCTTAGATGCACAGGCTAGCCTAATAGGATTTCTTGTTGTAAAGAGGATTAAAATCACTGTAAGATGGTTTATATCTTTTCCCTAAAGATTTTAGAGCATGCAAATTGAAGAAAGCTGGAAAAAGAAATCGCCACCCACCTAAGAGGAAGCATGGCCTCAACAGCAGCATTCAAGTTCATCTATCCTCTGTAATCTGAAAATGTACTTCCCAGTCTTACAAGAAAACTGCTCATCAGCCTCCAAAGGGGAAACCAAGAAAGTAACTGAGAAACCAATCAGGAACTAAAAAGCTTGGAGATCCAGGGTCAAGGAAAGGGAAAAAAAAACACCAACACAACCCTAATCAGCTATGAGCATAAACCACCCTCTAAGTGCTATGGGAACGTGGAACAAACCTTTATCTTCTCCTGTTGTGACAGCAGATTTTCCAAGTTTTTATTCACTGCAGTTTCATGTTTTTTCAGTGTTTGCACAATTTTAGGGAAATCACTCTGAGAAAACAACAAGAGCGAGGTATGAGGTACAGACATAAGGGCACAAGATGGGCAATGTTATGGAGGTGGGGGGGGTCAGACCCAGAAGTTTGTTCACTGTCTGCTCTCACGACAAATCAGCGCATAAAAGCTTTACTGGGAGATTCTGCCCCCGAACAGAACTCATGATCATGAGTGTGGGGAAGATACTCTCAAAACAAAAACTGTTCATACACAACAGCCACACGGAAAGCTACTTTTTATTGGTGGCAGCAGCTTCCTTTCTGTTATGCTGCCATCAATTTTCATTGCACAAACGCAACTGAGGCTGATACTCCTGTTTGAAGATGCAGTGAGGACTAAAAGCAAAGCCACAAACACTCGGTCCCACCGACCTCTCTGGAGATTGTTTTATAGCCCAAGGAGCAAGCCCAGAGGCAACGTGGAGCAAAGCCCACACCCAAAGCCACGTATCCCAAGATGGCAGCCTGCACACCTGAATCCCAGGAGTTGTTCAGGCCTCACTCTGCAGGCAGCTCTCCATATCCCGTATCCCCAGGTTTTCCCTCAAGCATCCTCAGTCTGGGCAGCTGTCCTAGCAGCCCCTTACCTGTGCTTGGCCAAAAGCCTCTTCCACACTGATGATTTCATGGCTCCTGTGGGAGCTGGTGGCACAGCACAGCATGCAGACACAGACCGAGTCCGTCACACAGTAGCATTCCAGCAGCTTGCCATGCTGGGCGCATCTCCTTTCTGCCAAAACACGAGCATCACAGGGCTCCACCAGGACGTGGCTTGTCAGGAAAGCCTTTGTGCTGTGCTTGCCCAGGTGGGCCTGGCACAGGGAGGTCTCGCAGTTCATGCACGTCTTCACTGCTGGCTGAGGCTTCTCGAGGCAGAAATCACACATGATCTCCTCATCATGCAGGTCCGAACTTTCTCCCTTCTCTTCACATTCCACTTCACGTTTTAGTTTCTCTTCAAGAGCGGCATTTTGCTCACTGGTGTCCAAAAACTTCTGCACTACGCTGCGGAGCTGGATGTTGGGCTGCAGCTTCGTAGGAAGGGCTTCCTGGGCGCTGCACAGCGGGCAGCTGACGAGGCCCTGCGGGCAACGCTGACTGCGAAGCAGCCCCTGGATGCACTCCTCGCAGAAGCTGTGGCCACAGCTGAGGGACACAGGGTTCCTGTAAACGTCCAGGCAGACGGAGCAGATCAGCTCCTCCTGTAACGCCTTCAGCACCCGCGGCTCCGCCATGGCGTCTGCAAACGCAGGATTTAACAGGGCGAAGGCCGGGCCGAGAAGAGCCGCGGCGCTGAGCTGGCTGGGCGGGGACTGGGAACTGCCGGCACTTCCCGCGAGGGCGCGGTGCCCCTTCGGCTTACAGCTCTGCTTCCTGCACTGCCGGGGCCGCCCGGCCCCCTGGGGATCCCCAGAGCCGCAGCCGGAGCTGAGCGCAGCAAGTAGGCAGCCCTCCTGGAACGGGAAGAGCGGCGGCTGAGAGCTGCGGCCCTCGGCTTCCATCTGTAGCCGGTTTCACTTTTCTTTCTGTCGGTCCTTTCTAGAAATTTCTTGAGATGACATCTGGGGCCCTCCGTCCTCAAAGCATGGCCCCGTGTCACTTTCTCCCTGCTCCAGCACTGCCCAAGTTCTCACCTTCCCTCAACATTTGAGTCAGACCTTTGTTCCTCCTGGAAACAGAAGGGAGGCAAGCACAGAATCATTAAGGTTGGAAAAGACCTCTAAGATCATCAGGTACAACCCCAACACTTTGCCACCATTCCCACCGACCCATCCCACAGCCCTCAGTGCCGCATCTCCACAGGTGTTGAACGCCTCCAGGACAGTGACTGCAGCCCTCCTGGGCACCCCGTGCCAGGGCGTCGCCACTCAGAAGCAATTTTTCCTGTGATCCAACCTGAACCTCCCCCGGTGCAACTGAAGGCCACCCCCTCTTGTTTTATCACTGTTACCTGGGAGGAGGAAATGCTCTAGCATTTCAGGAGCAGAGGGGAGAGGAGGATGGAGGCACCTTATTTAAGAGCCGCTTCCCTCTGTTCTCTCTGCATTTCTGTGCAGGCCTTCAGGCTGTACCCAGCTCTGGTGGTCTGATGCTGACAGGTGGCAATGCCTGGGGCTGAGCTGCTCCTCTGCTCCTATGGGTGTGCTGAAAGGCCCTGGAGCAGATGTAAGAACAGAGAGAAAAACAGGACATGTACAAAGAATGGAATCATAGAGTCATATAGATATCATATGTAGAAGATCCTGAGTTGGAAGTGACCCTGGTGTTTTTGTCTAACTGTATGCTGGACAGCTGTTCCAGAAGGATACTGTGAGAAACAGTATGAAAAGTTTTACTGAAATCCAAAAGGATAACATCAGCTGACTTCCTTTCCTCATCTAGGTGGATGGCCTTGTTATAATAGGAAATTAAGTTAGATAAATAGGACCTTTCCCTTAGGAACCTGTGTTGGCTGTGACCAATGACCACATTGTCCTGCAAGTGTTTTTCAGTAACTCCCAGCATAATTTTGTTCATAATTTTACCAGGCACTGAAGTGAGACTGACAGGCCTGTAACTACCAGGGTCTTCTGTCTAGACCTTCTTGAATACTGGAAAGTTTGACAGCTTCCCATCACCTGGAACTTCTCCAAAGACCATTGAAAAATCATTGAGAGAGGTCCTGCAATGACACTGGCCAGCTCTCTGAATACCCTGGGATGAATGCCATGGGGTCCTATGGTCTTATATATATCCAAGTGGAGCAGCAAATACTGCACCTACAAGATTGAGGTTGGCTGGGATTTGATCATCACCACAAACAGTCCTCCAACTCAGTGCACCTATTGCTCCTGCAATGTTTGTTTCCTCTCTGCCTTCATCTCACTGAAGAAGTTGCTCTCTGCTCCTCTCACCAACAGCCTCTGCCTTCCCACTAACAGCACTGCTGCACTCCTCCACTCTGGACACAAGCACCTGGCTCCTGCATTCATGAACCTTTCCCTTTGGCACATCTGAGGCCGCTCCAGCAGACATGGCTTATACAACAGGGCAGCACCAAAGACATTTTCAAACCATGTATTTGCTGTCACACAGCCATTCTCAGAGCTCTGACATGGAGCTGACAGATCCTGTGAGAGGGATGCTGCTCATGGTCAGGCATTTGGAAAATGCTGAAGATGCTGCCCTCATTGGGCAGGTGCCAGCTAGCCAAGGTCAGCATCAGAAGATGTCCCTGTGCACAACAGCCAGTCACTGGCTTCTCTTAAAGAGGAGATAGATAAGAGGAAGAAGTATCTCAGGGAATGGAGCATCAAATTTGAAGTCAGATTGACTTCCTGCTTAAAAAACCTGCAATGGCCCATGAGATCCTGGTGTTTTGCAACAACCTTCTCTCCAAAGAAAAAAAAAAAAAGAATAAAATTAACGGTTTGGAGAAAAAGGAGCTTTCCAATCAACTCTGTTCTAAAGCTGAAAATCACGTTAGAACCTGGTTCTAGCTGCTTTTAATTGGTTTGATTTACACATGTGCAGAAATTACCCTTCTGTCACATGCTTTCCCTTTCTCTTTCCTAGTATTGTTTCTCCATGTAGCCCGCAGCTGCCTGAAACAGTCAAGACTCCCCCCTTCCTGTCTTACCAGAAGCTGTTGGCCACGGTCAGTAGCAAAGTCCGAGCACAAACTGTCCCTGCAGCCCCTGGTGGCACAGCCCTCGCTGCAACCTGTCTGCAGGGGCTGGTGCAGAGCGTCCGGGCAAGTGCGTTGTGCTCAGTTAAATGCCCAGAGGAGCAGTAGTTGCTTATTTTACAGGAATTTATCATACAAACCTCCTCCTGATGATATTCAACTCCCAGTCCTGTTTCATGCACTGCAGCTGGTGCGGATGGGTGCAATTCTTCCCTCCATATCAGCCCACTGCATGCTCCCCAAGCTTTCTTGTGACTTCTGTGCCCACTTCTGTATTCTTGTCATTCCCAAAAGCTCAGGGTCCTTTATCATTACTTTTTGCTCCTCTGTAGGGTTTACAGTTTATTTTTTCAGCATACCCTGAAATATGGTTTTCTTACCCTCAATTAATTAGAGTTATTAATCTTTTCACTGAAGAAAGAATTAATCTCCCTAATTTTCTTCAGGAGTTTAGATAGCCAGAAGGTTCTGGAAGCTGCAGGTAATGACCACTGTCAATAATTTGCTGTTATCTCCTGGGCTGTCTGCACGGTGACCCGCATGGCACAACAGCGTGCTGCTTCAGCCAAACAGGCTTTTCAATTCTTCTTTGGCCTCTGTTCTCCTTGGCATGGCAGCAACAGCCCATCCCCACGTCTTGTGTGTCCCTCAGAACAGCCACGTGTACCAACCGGAGCCAGGCTGGCCATGGGAGGAATACTTCTGGTCCAGGCGCTTCGTTGCTGCAGTGCCTTCCCCTGCCAACCTGTAGGGAGCACGGGTTCTCTGTTCTCCTTGGACAGCTGAGTTCCTGCCTGGACCTGAAATGAGTGGCTCGCAGTGAGGGATGGAGATGTTGGTGATGAGAACACAGGCTTTCACTGCCCACGCAGCAGCAGTGAGCTGAATCCTTGCACTGCCTCTCTCCGGGCAGATGCTGATATTTTGCAAATTCACTGAAATGAAGACTGCTTGTGATACAAATCAACGTGAGCAGATACAAATCATGGTTGGAGTGTGGCAGGGTATAGGCAAATCTAGTTCCTCTCTGCGCCCTGGAGCAGTGTGTTCTGCATGGGCAGTAAATCCTTTGTGCTCCAGGGTACTGCTGTGAGCCCGGGGCACCTCGTGCTCCTTTTTTGGGAGGATTACAGCCAGGACACGTGCACTGCTGCAGTGGAGATGGTTTTCCTCTAAAGCGATCGTTGTTGTGAAGGCAGTGGGGAGATCCTTTTGCTGCCCCACAGGCTGGTGGAGGGCAGATCCCCACACGGCTCCGCTCAGCATCCTGTGCCATTTCTTCAGTGTTCTGCACATGTGGGTCCTTGTGGATGTCAAACTGAAAGGGAAGCAGAGATGCTCAGACAAGCAGAGACCCCCTGCACATTTGCAAGAGTGCTCTGCCTGCACCTCACCCACTGCAGCTGCTGCTGAGCTGTTGTGGCTCGCCCAGGGCAGATGTGCTCCTGCTGCATGGCTCCTCAAGGGTCTGCTCAGCCAACACTGGGTGTAGCCCACTGTGCCATGCAGGCAACAAGAGCCTGAGGCACAGCAGCCTCACCCCCACCCAGCACTGAGGTGGGCATTTGAGGAGAGGGATTGGTTGGGAAATGGTATCTTCTTACCTGCAGGAGGCTGCTGAGAAGTGTGAGGGTTCCAAGTGTGAGTTTGAAGAGGTACTTGGAGGTAGAGATGGTATATGAAAAACTAAAATGTATCCAGCCAAGGACTGAGGGGGAGAGAAAGAAGGAACAGATTGTGAACCCACAAGGGGCAGCATCTAGAGCAAGCTCTCCACCAGCCCCTAAAAGCTCATAGTGAGTATAGACAGCATCCACAGCTGGTGTACAGAGAGATCAAAGTTTGGCAGGGCAAAGAACAGCAAGATGGGCGAGACAGGCAGCAGCTGCTGGCAGAGGTCAGTGACACTGGGAGAGTAAGGCAAAGGTCCCTGAGCTGACAAGAGGCAAAAAAAACACCAAAGCCTTCCCCAGTCTTCCCTCTAAAGACACACATCAGATCTGGCCAAGTCAAGATGGAGAAATCCCAAGTGGGCAAATGTGGGCTCCAGAGCCCCGACCGGGACCTTACAGTGCCAGCGCTGAGTTCCCCTGCTGGGCTGGGAGCTCAGAGCACAGCCAGCCCTGCTCAAGGTCAGGTGTTCAGAAGATGCTGAAGATGCTGCCCTCGTTGATTCCAGCCAGCCAAGGTCAGCATCAGAGGCTGTCCCCGTGCACAACAGCCAGTCACTGGCCCCTCTCCCTCCCACAGGGCAAGCTGTGCCTGCTGTCTGGTTTTGCCTGACTGATAGAGCAGGCACTGAAGCTACAAATGCATTCCCAGGTGTGTGAGAAGAAGTTGGTTTACCAGAAAGCTATGCCAAAACAGAAAACCGTTGTGCTGGTTTTGTTGTAATTTTTTTGTTTCTGTTGTTTTTTTCTCAAATGGATGAGTGTAACTGTTGGAGTTTGTACACAACCCCACGTCCCCACAGCCAGGCCAGTGCACACCAGCCTACTGCCACATCCTGCTGCACGGAACGCCTGCTTGGTACCCTGACATACCAGCAGCACAGACTCACTGCTCGTGGTCGGTTTGTTTCCCAGTTTGTAGTATATATGTTATCGTTTATTTATAGGCAGATCACTTCACTATTTACAGTACATGAGCGTAGAGATTCTACAGTCTTTGTGATGTAAACAAGTAACTCCGCGGCAGGGGAGTCTGGAAAAAGAAGCCAGTTCTGAAGTATTTACACAATTTAAAATAGAACTTTTATACCCACTGGATAGATATAGATAATACATCGAGCGATTTGGTTAAATTATCTATGAAACTATAGAATCTGACAATGTAAAAATACAAGAAAACGTTCTCTCGTTTTAGAAGGTAGACAGTTAAATCACACTAGAAATAAATCTCTGTTTAAAAATAATAACAATAATAATAATAAAGGAAAGGCATAGGAATCCATGCCATCTTTTAAGGTTAAAGTATATTACATAAATAAGGACACAACGGAACGGAACTGGGAGGGGGGGAACAAAAAAGTGAAATATAAAAAACCGCTACCAATTAAAAAAAATCAGACTAAAAACTTGATTCTTAATCACACAGGGATCAACTCTGCCACTCCGACTTACTCTGCAAGCAGAAAATCACAGAGTTAAGCAGTACTTACTCAGCACGAGGAAGGGGGCAGAACTGGCCCCTAATAATTATCAGCAGTGTCCTTTTAGTTAATTAAAAAAAAAAAATTAGCTTTTATTATAAATAACAAAGCAGATGTGCCCCTTTTTAGGTGAAATTCTTACACCTTTCTTGAGAAATGCATCGCTTTCACCTTCCTCTCTCTCACATGCATTCGGCCCCCGGCCACGCGGTGTTGGCGGTGCCGCGCTGCGACGGCTCCGGGGATGAGGAATGGAGCCCGAAGGCTGAGTTTGGTTCATATTGCTTGAGATTGCTGGGACAGATGGAGATAGAACAGAAGGGGCTTCAGGGCTCAGCTACGAACAACGATGGAGTTCGTCATTCAGCACAGTGCCAAAAAGAAAGAATACGATTCAAAACGATCCAAACGCTGGTCTGTAATGCAGCTCCGCATGGACCAGCGCTGAAGTCAGACCCTCGGCCTGCAACGCAGCGCCTGAGCTGCTGCTCCTGTGGGGAGGGCGCGCAACCCAGCGAGCTGTGCTGACAAGGAGTCAGGGTGAACCTCATCTTTGGGGCAGCATCAAACCTAACACCTGGGATTGTCCTCTGCATTCAGCCCAGACTCAGAAACATCGGCTCCTCTCCTATGGAGCCCCAGGAACCTGCTGGATTCCAGCCAGGAAACCTGGTATCCCATCCTGAACAGCCAGATTTTACGGGGCAGATCTGTGCAAAAAAAGCGAAACGGCATTTCATCATCAAACTCTTCACGTTTAGTATCTCCCCACAGTACTCACAGGCAGCTATCAGGGGACATTCTAGAGCTATATACTTCTTAGAAAAATAAATCTCCTCCTTACTTATTGCCTACCTTAATATACCCTTTGCTCCCAGTTTCTCTGGGCTGTGCCCCAGCGGTGAGGGGCGCGAGGGCCCTTCCCTGCACCCAGAGCAGCCTCAGTCCCTGAATGGAGCGAGCTCTCTTTGGCCCCTCCTCACCCCTGGGCGCTGTGAGCAAACAAAACCTTTCCATTAAAAAAATAAAACTCCAGTGGAAACTTATTTTTCACCACTACCCCTGCTTGAGAGATTCTAAACCCAGCCGGCAGGCAGCCACACCTGTGCTTCTCAGGCTGAAACGCTCTGCGCTCACCAAATCCTAACCTGGGGGGAGGCATGGGGGCTGGCGAGGAGGGTGCCTGAGCACCTGTGTGCGTATTGCATCAGTGCAGGAGACGATTCTCAAGGGGAGAGGGACAATGAGCCGTCCAAATTCAAGGGAGGGGGAAAAAGAACCGAAAACCCCCAAACCTCAACAAAAAATCCACTTATAGGCTTCAGGCAACACAAAGACCACTTATTGCATCTCTTCCTATCCTACGACTGCAGTACTGATTGGCTCTGTGCGTTACAAAGTTCCCATTTGCAGGGAGCACCGTGCTTCTGTGCAGAAGTGCTGCGATGGCACGGGAAGCCGCAGGAAAGCAACATCAAATTTTGGATGTTTTTGGGGGCTCACAGAAACCAAGGCTGGCAATGCACCTGGAGGCTGCCCCAGTGGGGTCCTCGAGGACCCAGCAGCCCCACCGTGCTTACCCTTCCCCTCTGCCAGGCTTGATGCATCCTCCAGCTGAGAGCAGCCCAGGGCTCGCTCCCATGGCTGAGCAAGGAGGAGATGGAAGAATTCCACTTGGCCTTTTTTTTTGTTTTTCTCTTTTTTTTGGATTGATCGTTTTCTGAAAAACATCAGCACAGCACAGGACAGTACTACCCACCCTAAATGTGTCGCTATATACATTCTACATAAGCTCTATAGCAATCACATGTAAACATCATTGTTGTGAGGAAATACTAGGACAGAAAAAGGCAAAGCTACAATGAGGCAATTGCCAATAGCAGATGCTCAGTCTCGGCCAGGGTTACTCGTGTATGCTGGGTTGGGGATAGGATGGGGACAGCCTGTGGCAGGAGAGACCTCTGCCCTTGCTCTGGGCTTAGAGCCAAGTGGCACAAGGACACGGCCGGCTCTGGTGTCAGGTGTGGGAACCAGTGGAGCTGTGTCACTGCCTTACTGGTGCTGTCGCATGGCTGCTGGCAGCCCTTCTGTCAGGGACAGGCCTGGGTTGGAGCCGCAGGCTGTGTCGGCAAGGCAGTGCTCCTGGAACCGAACCTCCTGCAGTTTTGGGGGCTTTGGTAATACTGCCTGCAAGATGAAATGGCATCCACACTGAGGAAATGAGAATAAAAACCCTAAGTCGCGTTCCAGGGAGACCCCAGAAGACTCTAATCTATCTATTGGCAGAGTTAAGGCTATATATTCTATCTACAAAGAATGGCTAAATCCCTAATGGTCTCTGTGTCCAGAAAGCAAACGAGGGTGATGGAGATGGCTTGAGGAGCCAGGGAGATTTCCTTTCCCCCTGGCCTGCTCTCGGTTGGGATCCCTCCAACCAAGGCTGGGGTCTCTCCCGCTCCCACCTTTCCCAGAGGTGGGGAACAAGTTTGCAAGCAAATTTCATGGGGACGCTGCTTGAGCATGCCTTATATCCAGTGGTGCCGGGCGGCCCGGGCCCCTGGCAAAAGGCAGGGGTTGGAGCACGCAGCGGCAGGCCAGCCAGGACCCACAGACTCAGCAAAGCTGCCACGCTTCCTTCACGCTGCTGGGCACGGAGGCAGCAGCACGGAGCGCGCCGGTGGTGGGCACGGATCCGGCTCACCAACAGGGTGCTGGGTGGGTGTATGGCTTATCGGGCACCGGCTGCAGAATGGGCAGCGTGTCGGCGGGCAAAGACATGGAGCTGCCGTGCCCTGCACACGGCAGGCTGGAGCAGGGATGCCCGGAGGTGGTCGTGCCACTCCTTCACCAGCCTTCCCTTCATGCCCACACCGTGGCCCCTCTCGGCAGCCGGGGGCCGGGGCTCGGCCCCAATGAGGAGAATGGCTTTGACAGCAAAGTGGTGACCCGGCGGGGAGGCGGGCGGCCTCGTGGCAGAGGGCAAACGCTGGCTCTGGGGCTCTGCTCTGACCCCCATTTGCTCAGTGGCAAGTGCCTCATTACAGTGCATAGTTAAAAATCAAGGAAGCGGTACAATAAATCTGAATTACAGTACATCTGAGCCATAAATACATCTTTAAGTATATACTTCTTTTTTCTTCTTCTATTAAAAATTAGTTTATAATCCTGATTCTATTCACAATTAACAATTTCATCATCACACACTACGGACAAAAAATGTTATGGTGAACACAGCTGCAACTCCACGGCGGGAGCCGGGGGAGAGGGGCCGGGGGCTCCTAGGCTCACCCAAAAACAACCAGTCAGAAGCGGGGCGACTATTGTGTGGCAGTGAGACATCAACACCATGGGGACTCACAGACAGAAGCAGCTTTGTTCAATGTAAACATCAATTGAAAGGGACAGCAGTCTCTCTCTCGCGCGTGCGTGCTCTCGCTCTCTCGCTCTCTCTCGCTTGTCATAGACTGAATAATTTCTTTGAAAACGTAAACATATTGGAAGTGCCTTGACTGAGGTATTGAGGTATTCCTCCAAGGTTAAGGCTGTTACCGATGCAGGCTTAGCTGGGCCTCCTGCAGCAAGCTGTCAAAATCCATGGTCTCATACTTGCTCTTCACCGGCGCCGGGGAGGACTCCTCCACGCTGCAATCTGGGAAGAGCAGGACACAGCACATGGGTCAGGGATGGCTGGACGCCCAGGCACCACGCTCCCTGTGCCATCACACCGCTGAGCCCTGGCCGCGCTGGCAGGCACCAAGCACCTGAGCTGGTGTTTCCCCTGATGGGTGCCTGCAAACGTGCCGCTGTTATCCCATATCCCAGAATGAGAGAAAGTGGGAAAATGGGCTGTTTGTCCCCATTGAAAAGGAGCAAACTGGTGTTTGGTGGAGGGGCTCTCGCAGGTCAGGTTAGACGTCAGAAATTCACAAAAACTGCCAGGTCCAGACGGGTTCTGAGTCCCCAAAGTGTGGCAGTTCCCACGTGAGCAACCAGGTCACGGCAAGCGTGGGCGTCTGCCTGTGGAGCTCCCCTTCTCTTGCATCAGAAGCTGAACAAAGAGTGCCATGACAAAGCCTGCCACATCTAGCAAATGCCAGAAATAAGGCAGCCTCATTTAGCAGCAGCTTAACCCCTTTGTGTGCACATTTTTGCAAGAGCTGGGAGCCATGCTGGGGTCCCTGTAGCTCTGCTGCCCGCAGCATAGCACAGCCAGTGCTTTCATCATGTGTTGCATGCTGGTTCTTACCTCCTCAGAGCCCAGAATGAAGGATCTTGGGGTTTATTACATGAATAATGAGCGTTTGCACCCACAACCAAAATTGGAGTACTGCTCTGAGCAAATGAAGTATTACAAGGTGCTAAGGGATCAGGCAGTACTTGTGTCAGACTGGGCACCTAGGGGGAAATCAAAATGTATGGCTTTATTTTCTGGGCATGGAGCAGGACTGCCTTATTTTGTGCATGAAGTGAGATAGAACCACTTCACTTACTGCAGAGGGTGCAGAAATTAACGTGTGCTGTTCACGAAACACTCGAGAGTCAAAGTAACAAGAGCCAAGCAAGGCTGGATCACGTTTCTCTTTCAGAATCAGCACAGTTTCGCTCCTGTCCATTAGCAAAGGCTGAGGAGTGAGGCTCAGTGAGCCTGACTGAATCCAGGCAGGGGCCTATGGAGAGCAGAGTGTGTGCTTGCAGAAATCCACACAGCACCAATACAGTTAATGCAACCACAGTGCATTTCCTTATCATTTTGGATGAAAAGTACATACACAATGCTGGGGATATTGTCCTGTCAAGCAGAAAATAATTCAGATCACATTTTGGAGCTGTTATTGACTGCTTTCTCTAATGACAGGGAAGGGAGATCTCTGCTGGAAAATGTCAAGCAGAAACACATATGGGAAAGGATGATCTGTGCATTGGCTGAGATCCTGTGGCCCTGGACTGGAACGCTGTGCTTTGTGGCCCGCACACTCTGGGGTCCTCCCACAAGCTGCTATCCTCCTGCCCCTGGCATCCAAAGCCATCCAACTGAGCTAAGAACAGCTGTGTGAGCTGTGCCAGAGCAGGTGGGCTTTTGCTGCAGGCTGGAAAAGCTTTAGGATTCTTGCATGACAAAGATGCAGTGCTTTACCGTAACACGCTGATAAACAGGATGCTTCTGAGGAAGCCTTCTTACCTAAGTCAGTGTATCTGGTCCAGAAGAAGTTCCCAAGGCTACCAGAGCTGAGCTGGAAGGAAGGCTCGTTCCTCTTCCTTAGCGAGGTGCCGTTCTTCAGAGATAAGGCGGCGTGCTCTGAATACCGGTAGGTGATGAAGCCGTATTTATCCCCTCTGAACAACCAGAGAAAGAAGTGGAGTTGTGTCAGGCTCCAGAGCCATCCTTGTGTGACTCTGCTCTGTGCCATGTGCCCACGGACCGGGCTGGGATGGGCACGGCGCAGACCCCCATGCGCAGGAACCTTGCCACCCACCTGTTAGTCCTGGACAGGACTTGGCACTCCACGATCTCACCGAACACCTCGAAGCGTTTCTTCAGTTCGCTGGAGCTCATGTTGCTGGAGAGGTTCCTGATGTACACCACCCGGCCTTCCCCCTGCCAGCACCAAGCCACAGGTCTCAGGCTTCCAACCCACACCTCCACTGCTGCCGACGGATACTGGAAACACGGAGTGCCAGGAGCCCCCACCCTGACCATGCAGTGCTGCTGGCTCCCAGCCCCCCAGCTAACGCCCCTTACTCTCATTAAGTGCCTCCTGCACCCCTCTGGCGTTTGCAGCTCATCTTTGTAAAGTCATCAGGGAATATTCCTGAAACAACTGGGGGAAAAATTCAACTATGCTGCAGTAAAATGATGCCAGATGGGCAGGTGTGAACACATGCATATATGCATGGCAGTAGAGAGGAACAGCAGCTATGTCCCTGCACATCCCATTCCTGCCATACACTCGTGCACCCGAGCTGCCTCTGCAGCAGTGGTGGTGGTAGGGCAGCTCCAAGGATTCCCCAGTTCACCACACCAGCTGCCAGCTCCACAATGGAGCGCTGACGTGGGATGCTCTGGGTATTTCTGTGCCAAGGACTCTGCATATTGCCAATTGTCAATTGCTTCTACTTTACTTTAGATTTTCTCTCTTCCCCCACCATGTCCTTGTTTAACACTGGCCTTGCACCTAATGATGCTGAAGCCAGAGCTAATGGGCTCCAGTGCTGCTTTTCCAGAATAGATCACTGAGGGCTGTGGGTTTCTTTGTCCCAGTGCACATTTGGGTGCCCATGGCTGCAGCTCCCTGCTCACTTACGATGGCCTTTTCCTGTTTCTTCTCAAGCTGGCCCCGGCTCCTGCTGCCACCCTGACACCGCTCATTGTTCTTACACCTGCAGGGCACAAGAGTCAAGGTCAGCCCAAAAATGGGACAGCCCAAAACTGGGGGAAAGCTTCAGCTGTCAGAAAGGAGCTTAGGCGCTGGGAACTATTAGCAGCAGAGGAGAGATTGGGTCATGCAGAGCATTCCGCTGTGCTCCAACACTGGGAATACCTTTCCTTGATGCCAGAAGAGGGCTCTAATTATAATATATAATATAATTATGTAATTATATTATATTATAATGACATAATATAATATCCCTTCACAGGAATGGCTCCGGCCTCTGCCTGTTGCTCCCAGCACAGTGGAAATCCACATTACTTCCCCAGGTGCCGCTCTCTGGCTATGGCTGATGTTTTCAGTAGCTGCTGTTGTAGTACCAATTATATCAATAGATTTTAATTAATTAGCATTTTTATGACTCAGGCTAGCAGACCAGAGAGAGCCAGTGCTGTCATACAGTGCCTTTGGATAGTGCTGGGAGCACAGCCTGTGTGCACCAGGCACAGCAGGAATGATATCAGGGCTGGTGCTGGGAGCAGGAAGCCCTGAGATTCACACAAGGACCTCCTGCAGCAGGAAGGGAGGAGACAGCCACTGCACTGGGTCAGGCCAACAGCCAGTCTGGCCCAGGACTGTCCCAAGCCACGGACAAAGGAAGCTTCTACAACAGCACGTGACCCCAGGCTACTGCCTGCAGCTGCTGAGGGCTGTCAGCCCTTTCCACTGCCCAGCTGTACCTGAAAGTGCATCTGCTTGTGGGGGATCGGGACCGGCAGCACGAAGACCCCGAGCTGGACCTGCTCCGGGAGCAATAATGCAAACTGGTCCTGGAGAGGGGATTTCTCCGCAGGCACAGCTTGGTGTCCAATGGGCTGCCGCAGTGCTCCTCCTCCTCCTCTTCGTCTTCCTCCTCCTCCTCCTCCTCTACCAGGGAGCCACTTTCACTACAGCTGTCGTCAAAAACAGTGTCATACTCCGGGGTCTTGCAGAAAGCCATGTCCTCATCGTCAACAGGACTGTCCGGGACACCAAAGTGCTTTGTTAAACTGGCTCTGATGTCCTGATCTCTCAGCTGCTTGATGCCATCCTTCCACACCATCTCGCCACCTGCCTCCTTGCTGCCAAGGTCCAGCCCCTGGTAGTGTGTGTCTGGGACCCTCCTCTTGTGTTCCATCTCAATCTGGCCTGAGGGCTCCCAGGACTTGAGCACCTTCCTTTGCAGGGTGCCCTCAGGCTTCAGCACCTGGCAGTAGTCATGGTCCCCAAAGGAGCGTGAAAAGGGCCGCTTGAGCACTCCTGACTGATCAGCAGCTCGGCTTAGGTGAGCCAAGAGCTCTGTCCTCTCAGGGTGCTTCTTCGTAGCTTTCTGAAAGGTGGCCGTGTCCCCTGTGCTGCCAGTTCTGGAGCTGGGGACTGTGCTGTCCTCCTTGCCTGTCTCCGGGGGCATGTCTGGCTTGTACAGATCCTCCTCAGCAGGCTTGTACGGTGGAGTGGTGGGTGGCGTGAGACCTGAACCCGTGACAAACAAACCACAGGAGTCAGCAGGAGTCAGCTCTGCCCCAACTGACACACTCCATTCGACCTCAAAGGATGAGCAGCATTGACATCTATCCACTCACCGGCACTTTGGGATAAAAGGATGCTGGATCCCCAGCGGGACCACCACACTCTCCCTTCCCCTTGGCCCAAGCAGCAGACCCCTAAACAGCCCCCACATCCAAACACCTACTGCAGTGCCTGTTCTTCAGAAAGATGGAGCCTAGAAGCTGCTCACAGTGTTGTGAATCCCCGTGGCTGATCATGATGGAGGCTCCCACAGCACAAGATGAATGCACCAGCAGCTCTAGGCTGAATTCAGGCTGTTCTCCAACCCAAGGAGAAGCGAGACAATAAAAGCCCATCCTACCTGCTGTACCACACAGCTCCATGGTCAGCATTGACACCGAGTTTCTCTTCCCAAAAGTAGAGTCACTGGAGAACAGCAGAAAAGAAGGAAAAGAATGTGTGTAAGTGAATACAGTCAGGAAATATAAAAAAGGAGGCTGAGAAGATGCTGCCTACAAATGTACTATCCCACCACTCCTAGTGCCTGGCGGTGACTGGGACAAGCAGCGTGCCCTCTTTGCCACCGCTGGGAATGAGCTGCAGCCAGACCTTGGGACACTTCCCCCACGCACCTGTCCTCACCCAAGGGCCTGAAGCCCCCCGGCCCCTTGCACCCAGGCGATGTGCATGGCTCCCACACCCCCGCCCCGCTGCACATCCCTCTGCTTTTTGGCATGCCCAGCCGGACACAATGAGACGGCTTTCCAGCCCCAGCGCGGTTAGTTCTGTCGACACAGATCCTGTGTGCACTTACGTTTGCGCCAAGGACAGCGTGAGACACCGGGGTGTTTCTGAAAGGCAGGAGAAGCAGGGTTACCGGCGGAGCTGCGCTCCCTCCAGCGCCCGTGGGCAGGCAGCGGCGCGGGGCAGCGGGAGCCGGGGCTGGGGCCACTGCCAGTGAGGTGATAGCATCCACACAAGGGACGGTGTGGCCTGGCCTGGGCCGGCAGGTTGGAGCCGCTCATGCACACAAAGCACTTGCCACGGACAGGCTGTGCCGGCTGTGCTTTTGGGGCACTGGCACAGCTGAACCCCAGAGGGGTCCAGCCCAGTGTCTGCTGGGCTGCTGCTGCGGCACCCGCTGCCTCTTCCTGCCATTACGATGGGGAAACTGAGGCAGGAGGCAAGGTGGGAGCGGATTGAAACAGCACCCCGACACCAGAACAGTCCCCAGCTCCCCACGTGTGGGACCCCGCGGCCAGCTAGCACCTGAGGGTCACCCCCACCCCTCACCTGCATGCTGCTGGGGGGCACAGCGCTGGCTTTCACAGCTCTCACCATCCCCCGGGGATGCCGGGATGAGGGGCTGGGGCTCTGCTGGCAGCACTGCGCTCCCGCCATCTCCCTCTTCTGTGCCGCCCACCTCCACTTCGGCCGCAGGCTCTTCAGCAGGGAAGGCCTCCAGTGGTGGGCACGGCACGGGCTCCCCACTGGCTGCGGCCTCCTGGGGCACAGAGGAGTCGGGGGGCGACTCGTCGAGGAAGGACAGCCAGTGGCCCAGCTCAGGGTTGAGTCTCTTGGACCGTCGGACGGCATAAACGGAGCTCTCGGGCCTGCGGGCCGCCTTCCCTGCAGCTGTGCCTGGGGTGCTCGCACGCCTCCCGGCCTCCTCCTCCACACTGCCAGGCTCCCCCGTCGCCTCCATCTCAGTCCCAGGGCTGTGCCGTGGCTCTGCTTTCTCTGGCACCGCTTTGGCTCTGGATTTGCAGGCTCCACCGGCCTCCTCCCTGTCCTGGGCCTGCACTGCAGGGCAGCAGGTGGGGGGCAGCCGGGCCAGGGAGGCGTACACGGGCCTGCCCAGCCGGTAGGGCTTGCTGACATCGCACAGCAGGTCCCGCGCCAGCAGCTCCTTCAGGATGGAGAAGGAGGCTGCGGGCTTCTGGCAGGCCCCAGCCGCGTGCCAGGCGCAGCCCGGCCGGCTCTCTTGCAGGGCACAGTCTGCTTTGGCTCTCTTGAAGGGGCTGCTGCAGGGCTGGGGCCTGGCATCAATAGCGTCACGGGCGGGCAGCTTCCTGGGCGGCAGGCAGTAGGTGTGCATGTAGCGGATGAGCTCCACCACCGAGTGCAGCCCCCCTTCGCAGGAGAACCGTCCGTCGGAGCCGTCCTCCGCCGAGGAAGGAGAGGGCACCGCATCGCTGGAGCTGAGCGAGTCCTCACTGCAGTCGCTGTCGTCCTCGTGCTGGGCGCAGTCACCCACGGGTGGGTAGTGGTGGCCGCTGTGGCACTGCTCGGGTGCGCGGGGGGCTTTGGTCTGGGTGCAGGGGGTGGTGGAGGTGAGGTGCCGGTGCAGCTCGGTGCAGCTGCGGCTCTGCGGAGCGCCTGCCTGCCTGTCCCGGGGAGCATCCACCTTGGGAGAGGAGAGAGCCAGCCGTCAGCTCCGCGCCCGCAGGTGGATGTGGGCCCGGCATCGAGAGCGGGGGAAGAGACACATGGCATGGTGGAGACAATCAGGATGACGGAGCTCCTCCTTCCCAAGAGAGTTTTACAGCTGCTCTTAGGCAGTCTAATTTGCCCACCCTAATTACCGTTACCCAAGTAGAAAAATGTCTGACGGCAGCTTCTGCTGGGGTCAGCAGGGGGCTGGGGCCAGGTGCTGCAGTGCTCCCTGGGCCCAGTGGTGCCACGGTGGGTGCAATGGGAGGGGGACAAGGGGCAGTTCCCATACAGCAGCTCTCAGTGACACTGGTAGAGGACTGGGCCAAATAAAACTAGGTTATCCCCCAAAGCAGAACAAACCCACACATTTTGCTGAGCCCCACAGAGACATACAGGGAAGCAGAGGGCACTCCACCACCCTGTGATGCTGTTTCCATCGCCGTGGGGCTCAGGGCCCTTCCCTGTGCATGCACCACTGAGGAAATACCTTTGTGTAGGGTCGAGATGGCCGGGATTTGGGTGTCCCTGGGCGCCGGGCGCTCCCATCCCTCTGCACCTCACAGCTCGGAGGCGATGGAGAGAGGAGCAATTTCTTCAGCTGCAACGAGAAGTGTCGAGAGAGCGTGTCAGCATGGCAGCTCCTCCAATGAGCACCGCGCGCAGGGGGCTGCGGGCTGTGCCCAGTGCTGAGCTCCCAAAGCAGGGGAAAAAGGCAGGAGGGGTCTCACACCTCCCAGTGCCCACAGCCTCATGCCCAGAAGCAGTGCAGGGCAGTGGGGATGTGGGGCAGGGGAATTTGCTTCCCAGAGCCATCCCCACACCAACCACATGGGAGCTGTTGTAACATTCCATGCCACAATCCATCAGCTCTGTCCTTTGTGACAGAATCCATATTTACATGGTGACTGATCTGGGCCAGTCCTGGGTACTCCCCAAGGCTCGTTCAGCTGTAACACCCAGAACGAGGCCCCCGCTCATTAGTGAGCTTGCAAAGCACCGTGCGGATGTAACCCCTGTGTTGGGCTGAGGTTCTTCCCAGGAGACTCCACTGCAATCCAAAGGGTGGTCAGAGTGGAGTTCTCCTGAGGTCACAGTGGAGTTCTCCTGACAGCCAGGTTAGCAAAACATTTCTGCTCAAAAACCTTTTTTTTTTGGTCAGGAAAAAAACCCACCACACACAGCAGCAACAGCATTTTGTGCTGCACCTGGAGGCAACAGGGGCTCAGTACAGGGTGACCGCATAGGCTCTGCAGGACTGCATGGAGGCACAGATCTGAAGTGCCCTGGGTCAGGCACTGGGATTTTTTGGATAATAGGAATGGGGGTGCTCAGGTCAGAGCATCAGCCGGGGCTGTGGGTGTGCAGCTCCTGTTGGTGGAAGCAGTCAGCACCTTCTCCCTCCCCCTGCAACGTATACATCCTATATATACACATACATACTGTGTGTGATATATACACCCACCTGCGCGCGGGACTGTGGGAGGTGGAAATGCGCGCTCTCACCACTGGATGTCACTCCTCCCCACCAGACAGTGGGGCTGGGGGGACCCCGGGCAGGGCTGGGGTCTGGGGGGGCCGTGAGCCCTGGGAGGAAGCAGGACAAGTGGCCCCATCCCCATGGACTTCCCGGGAATGGCAGAGATTTGCAGCAAATGCTGCAGCGGGCCGGGATACGGGGAGCGGGGCCGAGTAATGCAGGGACCAGAAGAGATATCCCGTTTCCAGGCTACAGGGACTGAGGCCACACAGCCCTGGGGGAGCTGTGGAGAAGGCATGGGGGGGTTACACCCACCCCTACAAGCTGAGGGCAGTACTCGCACTCAGGCTAAGTCCCCTCTGTCTCTCATTAGAGAGCAGCGGGAGCTTTGTCCTAGGGATACAGGGTGGGCCTTAGGGCCATGATGCTCTGGAAGGAGACCCAGGCAGCCCACAGCCTCTCCTGGCATTAACAGGGGCTGTGGGTCTCGCCATGCCACCCCCCACCTTGTGACACCCCCTGTGGGTGGCACCCACCCCAGACCCTTAAATAGATACTGGAACACACACAGCAGCACCCAGCTTGTTCCCGTGAGGATGGCGATGGAGGTGACAGCAATGATGCAGAACATGTATACGTATACAATACAAGTATATGCTTTGGTATTGACGGTTAAAGAGAGTTTTAAGCCTAGAATGAAAAAATTCAGACCTTTGCTTCCTATCATACCCATGCAGCCGGCTTATCAGGGGCTCATCCAAATCCACCTTAAACAGTAGGAAGTGGGTTCTTACTAGAGACAGCTCATCAACCTCGGGGGCCGGGGGCGGCTCCCCCGTGACCAGGGCGGTGGGTTTGGGGGAGGGGGCAGGCGAGGTGTAGGCATGGTTGAGCGTGTCCCCCTCTTCCATAGATCGGAAGGCAGCCAGGCCCACGTCATCTCCCTGCATATCATCCAGTGTCTCGGTGAGGGCCGCCAGCAGCGCTTCATTCTCGCTGTCTATTATCTGAAAGGAGCAGGGAGAGGGATTCAGGCACCTTTTGGTCCTCCTCCATAATATCCTTAACATAAACCATACTCGACAAGAAGCAAACATAAAATTAGATTGGGAGCAAAGTCAGGCTCACGAGGAGGACTGCTGTCTGCACATAGCCTCCCTTGCTTCTCTCTTCTTGTTTGAAAACTAAATATCTTTTGTTCCATGCCCTAACCTTGCTCGCAGTTACTAGATCAGGCTCCAGGGAAAGGCAGCAGGATGCTCCATTTTTGGCTCTGTTTCTTTTCCTCCTGTTATTGGCACGAGACTGCAGCGCACACGAGTTCAGTGGGATACATTTCATCATACTCTGCTGTGCCTCACAGGCCTGCCTTTTGCATTTCTTTTCTGTTTATCTTTTCCCCAGGAAGTTCAGCGGAAAATATGCATCTCGTGATGAAGGTCCGTCAGCAGGACTGGACCACTTTCAAGCACAGCATCAGCACAGCACCAAAGCCACAGGGCTGTTATTATGGCCAGGTTGGAAAATATTGGGACTTTTTTGTTGTTGTTCCTTTTCTTTAAGAACAAATTCTCCTCCTTCCCCAAAAGTAACCCTCTGTAGGTGACCTGGCCAAGCTGGCCTCCAAGTCAAGGGCCTGGGGATGTTCAGAAGGGCATGGCAGCCCTGAGAGGATGGGCACATCCAGGCCGCAGCATGGGAGGAGGGAGAGTTTTGGGAAAGGCGGCTCTGGCACCTCCTCATTATCCTTACTCTGCCTGCTCCATTTACAGACAGCGAGCAAATTAATGAGAGCACTAATCAGCTGGGGAGGGGATATTAATAGCAGTCCCATCGCACCTTCCCTCTCTTCTCCACACACCCTGTGCTCCCCACGCCTCTGCCTTTGGGTCCCTGGTGCCTGACTGTCACCCAGCACGCGCCACACAAATGGTTCTGCCTCCAGTACACGGAGGGATGTGTCCCCGTGTCCCCATGTTCCATGGGTACCTGGAGGAGCTCAGAGTCATCGGTGCTGTACTGGCTGGACTCAGTCTCAGAGTGCTCTGCGCACCATTGCAGCTCGCCAAAGCAGCCGGCCGAGTCGAAGTCGCTGGCATCCAGCTGGGACAAATCGATCTCAGGGAAGTCGGAGTAGAGATGCTCCTCATCAGACACCTCATACTGGGGAGAGAAGAAAGCGGCAGTGAGCGTGCAGCTGCAATGCAAGGGGTTTCATTGGGGTCCCCACACACATCACCTCCTCTCAAGCACATTCCTCAGACTACAACAGTGGCATTTTGGAATAAAATGGAAACGCTGAGCACGTGTTGAGCCCAGGATGGGCAGAGCTTGGGGTATGGCAGCCAGCATGCAGCCTGTGGTGCCTTTTGTGTTGCACAGTGAGCACCCAGGCTTCATCCTGCTGCCCCAACAACAGAGAGAGGTGAGAACTGTGGGCGCAGACACATGCAACACACAGGGCAAGGCTCTGCAGGATGGCTTCGCACCACTTACCCTGTCCCCATTCCTGCTATGTGGCAGCACAATGCTCCCTGGGGAGGCGCAGGCCCCAAGGCACTGCAATGAGGGCCCCTCAGGCTCCTTGCACAGGCAAGAAGGGAAAAAAGGCACAGAGATCATCATCCATGTGCATGCGGGGCGACTGGAGCTCCAGGAACCGAGCTAAAAATATCCACTGATCACGGAACACAGCTGAGACCTGCCCTGATCCCACCTGGCTCCTCACCGCCCGCATGGAGCTGCACCCACCTGCCCCGCTGCCCCCATGCATCCCCAGCAAAACACGGGGCTCCAGCACAGGGTGAAAGGTCCGCGTGCATCGCCCCAGCATTGGCTGCCCGGAGGGAGTTTTCTGGTGATGAGGGAAGCAAGTTTGTTTACACAGCAAATGGATTTCGAAGCAGGCAAACATCTGAGCACGTGAGAGAGGCAGAAAAACACGGTGGCCTCCACTTGTGCCGCGCTGACAGGCTCTGCTCCGCCACGCAGCAGGGGGACAGGGATCTCAAACTGAGCTGCAGGAAGGGCAAAGGCAGTACTTCTGACTTCCTCATCTCCTGCAACAACTCCAGCTCCCCCTTCTCCCTAAATCTTCCCATGGGAACACAGGCAAAGGGCTTATTTTTAGAAAAGCCATACACACACATATATACGTGTGTGTATGTTCAATTAAAAATAGCAAAGCAGACAAATTCTCCTGCTCCTTTTGATATGCCACCAGGGAAAAGTTCTTGGTGCTGATCACAAGGAGCAGCTGACACCAGTGCTTGGGACGTCTTTTGATCAACTCCACAGATGTGACACGTCCCCGTTGGCAACAGGGCTGGGTAAAAATAAACTCCTGCAATCCAATGCCGTGGAGCTGCCCAAGCCAGGCACCCAGAGACAGGCATTTGGTGCCCTGTGCTGCAGTGACCCCAGCAGTATTCGCGGTGGATGCTCCTGGACTCCCAGCTCCCGTATGGGTGAGCAGTGGCCCAAAGCCCCGCATACCAGCAGGGCAGCCCTGTGCCAGGCCATGTGCTTCCAGCAGGAGGGGTCTTGTCGGGTCAGGAGCACAAGTGGGGAGCATGAGCCGGTGCTGGTGAGGTACCAGTGTGGTACCAGTGCGTACTGGTGCAGGGCTGCTCTGGGCATGGGACCTCATCTGTTCCAGCTTTCCCTTTTCCCATCCTTTCCACTTCCTGCTGCCTTGGGAGAGGAGTGAACTTTTGTTCTAATTTTACTCGGGAGTTTGTAGGAAGATCAGCCATGGGTTCTTGGTGTGCAGCCAGCAAACACCCATGGAGACATGCTTGAAAATTTGGAGGCATCCTCCAGCCCGGACACCTGGCCTGTGCTCACTGCTGCATGGCTGCAGCCAGAGCTGCAGGGAGCTCTGCCATGTCCAACTCATCCTGCAGCAGGAACAACTCCAGGTCCCCATGCCACAGCCCTACACTGTCCAGGGACACAGAGCCAGAGTGTCAATAGTGGAAGCAGGACCTGCCTGGAAGATGTGCAGGGACCCACACAGTGGGGCTTTGTGCTCACTTTGCGGGTTTGTGCAGAGCTGCTCACTAGCCCTGCGCCGTGCTGTGGAGATACCTTGGCTCCAGGTACTCTCTACTCATTGTCCCTGGCGTCCCCATGTACCACATCTGAGCCAGGAGCAGCGACAGCACGAAGGACAGGCTGCCAGGGACGTTCAGAGGTCACTGTGGTGACGGCTCTTTGATGGGGCCCTGCTCTGCCCAGGCCTTTTCCCAAGAAAGCACAGTGCAGCCTCTTTCAAAGCAAAGAACTCTCCCAGCCTGTTCTGTGCCTTCGCCTAGAGCAATTGCCTGAGCAGAGGCAGCGGGGAGGCAGGGGACAGCCACCTCGTGTCTCCTCATAGCTGGGGTCTGCCTGGAAGCTGGGGCAGCTGCTGGCCAGAGTCACCTCCGAGCAGACCCTGCTGAGCTCAGCCAGGCACTAACGCTGGCATGGGGACAGCAGGTGGGCCATGTCCCCGGGCAGGTGGTTTGCGGCTTTTTCTCCTGCTTTGGAGCAGCGCTAACTTCAGTGCAGGTGTTTGTGAGGTGTTTATCTGCTAAGAAAGGAGCCCAGCTCTATTTCAAATATTGGATTAACAAGATGGGAAATGTTTTTTTTTCTCTTTCAATGTGAACTTGGGCTCCTCGGGCTGAACCAGCCAGCAGTATGTGTGGTCATGGCCGGCCTGAGGGCTCCTGGAGAGCAATGGGTTCTCCCATGCATGGCACCAGCAAGTCCATGACCACAGCTCAGAGACAGCACTGAGGCAGCACTGGCCCTTATCTTGCAGCCTCCACTCTGCAGGCCCTTGAAGCGGTGGCCAAGTGCTCTGCAGCACAGCTCCGGGCGCAGCAGGCATGCCGTGCTTGTGCTCAGCGGTGCTGCACGAGCACAAGGCTCTGAAGTCTGCCGGCGTGGATGGGGCACGGCAGCCTCTCCATGGCTTAATCCCAGTTAAGCTGGAAGGGCAGATCTGCACCGCCACTTCCACACATGTCCCCAGGATGCTGTGCAATCGGCTTGTCACTCACATGCCACTTAGCTGCTCTCTGTGTCTAATGAACAAAAAAAAGGAAGGAAAGAGGGGGCTTCCCAGGGAGGGTGAAGGAAGAAGCCGGAGGCTGTGCTCTCACAGGGAGCGGGGCTGTGACTCACTGCCCCTCTATCCCCACCACTCAGTGCCTGCTCAAGGCATTAAGGGATAAACACACATCCACACACAAACGGGACACAGAGCTCCAAATTAGCCCATGGCATCCCGGCTGCAAGGTGAGAAAATTCGGAGCCTCACGGGTAGCTGCCACCACAGCCCTGCTGCAGGTGGGAGTGCTTTGCCCTGAGCTCTGAAAAGGAAAGGAACACCTTGGGCAGGAGCTTGGAGAGAGCCGTAAACGCTTATCAGGGAAATCCGTAATTACAGACTGCTTGAAATGGGGATTATGGCCATGCGGGCAGCAGACACCGTGTGATTGTTCCAGCTGGGGCAAGGGAGCGAGGGGGCAGCGGCACTGGTGCCACCAGCACCATCCTGTTGCCCTGTGGGCAGCGACCATACCCTGCGTGCCCCTGCAGCCGGCGCCTGCCCGTCCCAGAGCTGTCACCGCAGGGCTGTGTCGGCTCCCGCTCCGCTCCCTGATAAGAGCATGGCAAGGGGTGGCTGCCCTCAGTGCCAGGAGGGGGGCACGGGATGGTGGAGGAGAGAGCTATAAATAAGAGTAAATACAGCAAGGAGGCACCTGGCCAGCGCTGTGAAGGTCACCGGAGCGCGTGCCGCAGATAAGCAGCCCCCCTCCCCACTGGCATTTGACAAAATGTCACCGAAGGAGCAGCACAGTGTCAGGTTGTGTTGCTGCCTGCTCCCCCCTCTTATTTATAGGCCCCACAGCTCTGGGGCCACTGCCACCCCTCCTGCAGAGCTGTGGGGCTGCAGCACTGGGGCCTGTCCTGCTGCAGTGCTGCGTTTGGGGTAGAGGGGCAGAGAGAGCTGCTAGCTGCCCAGCTCTACGCAGGCATGGGGTTAGGAGAATTTGACCTCTGCACTCTCTTTTGTTTTCAGTTGGTACTGATTTAATGATTCAGCCCAGCCAGAAGGAAAAACAGCACTATCATTTAAACTCGGACGAAGCAAACATCAGGCTGGGCCTTCCTTCCTCAGAAATAGCCACTGTTTGCCTGTGCTGCTGCAGCATGGGGCAGCCCTGGCCACAGTGCCAGCCTTGCACAGCTCCCTGCACAGCTCCACGTAAGGTCCACGCACAGTTCCCTGCTCCACACACAGCTCCATGCACAGCACCATGCACAGCTCCACACAGAGCAGTCTGCAAAGCTGCATGCACCACAGCTTGCACAGCTCCGTGCAGACAAGCAGCACAGCCGAGCAGTGCAGGCAGCACACAGAGCTGCTTAAGGTCTGAGGCACAGCCATAGCCGAAAGCACAATGAAAGTGTTCTCATTCACTGACTTTTGTCTTACATTAGAAGGGTATAATTAAGATCAACCACAAGATGCGAGTAATAGGAAATATTAAACATTAACTACAAACAATAAACATGAACTTGCCAGGATATCTTTGATATGGCGTAAAGATGGAATAAATTGCATTAAACTATCCTTGAGTCACAGCGTGGACCCAGAATAAAGGAGCCTGAGATAGTGCGATAATGCCCTGAGTAAACAAAGGTGTACTGGAACATTTTAAACAAAGGTGTGCCGAGTTTAGGAAGAAGGGCAGCAGCACAGTGCCTACATCACAGGTTGCGGAGCTGCATTCTAATACTGCACCCACCGCTGTCTGTGTGGGCTCTGTGTTGCAGTCACATTGGGCACGGCCATGGTGGCTTGGGTCTTGTCCCAGATGGTACCCAGAGGGGCAGGGAGCAGCGGTGGCACTGGAGCAGGCAGGGAGCCCCTAACACAGGGGTCCCCCCAGCACAGGCTGTGCTGTGGGATGAGGCCTGCGCCTGACTCAGTGGGGAGCTGACCGTTAGCCAGTCTGCTGTCACCAAAATTCCCCACAGCGGCAACTCCTGGCTTTCAAAAGGACAGGATGAGCCGGCGATTATTTTCAGACCTTCCTCTTGCCGCGCTCCGGGTGCTGGCAGCCACATGACGGCTGTGGGCAGGGGCCAGGCAGGGTGGCTGCTGA